TATCTGACGATTTGTGTTTGTGAAAAAAAATGTATATTGATGATCTGTGTTTTAGTGTACTTATCTGACGATTATTGCGTATATGTGTTACGATTTATGTTTATGAAGAAAAATGTATATTATGATGACATAATTTTTTAAAATATGTTTAAATTAGATGCTGACATTGTCTTTATTTTTTGCAATTGTAAAGGTCATTAACTATGTCAATTGTTTTGTCTTCTCAAAAGAGACTTAATCCAAAAGAAAATTAGTGAATGAGTTTTTTTTTTTTTGGAATTCTATTGGGCTAGGGACTGGCCTCAAAATTCATCTTTGTGTTTTTTTTTTTTAAATGTGTTCAAGTTTATATTGACTGACTAATATAACTTGAACTGAGTTAGAACATAGGGACAAGGGTGACTACCCCTTAAAGGTAGTGAAAATGAATTGAATCTGAGACTCTGAATTATCAAAAATCAGACTCAACCATTAAATTACTCCTAAAAACTTATTACTAAACTGAACAGCAAGACCTGGTCAGCCCAAGCTTGAAAGCAACTCGCTCCCCTGCGAATGTAAATGGCAAAATCCTTCCCACTAGGAGTTCCCGGACTTTCTGAGTGTTTAATAATCTAAAATCAGTTAACATTGCAATTAAAATCAATCGAAAAATCATTTTTTTTTATCTATATCATAATTTTTAGAAACAAAAATTCGATCCAATCTGTATATACCACAAATGAGCTAAATTCTAGTGGATTACATCAAATATTTAATCATAGTAAGATCTCGTGGCTTGGGGTTCCTTTTTTTTTTTTTTGCGTGGTAGGTTATTCAAGCTCTGATTTTGTTTTGCAGACAATCTACAAATACAAAATCATAATTTGACCAATTTTCTTTTTGACATATTTTCATATATACAAATATTTTACCCAGCGTATTTTTTTATGGTAGTTGAAACTTGGATCAACAACTCATTAACCACTTGAATAAATCATTAAGTTCATCTTAATGATGACACACATCTTCTACACCATGTGTATGTGGCCAAGTAATGGCTTATGCATGTTCATTTAAAGAAAAATGTAAGCAATACTAGGCGCAGACTCATACTGCCCCAAACACCTTTTACCATTGAGCCAAATTAAAAAAAAAAAAAGGAGTTTACAAGGTTTGGTAGTGAGCATTTGTATTTCGATTATACGAGAAAAATACAACTAGCATCCGATTTTGGTCAACCACATAAACTTAATACTAGTAAATCTCATATCTGATCTGTTTGCGTTGTGTTTATGCTCCACTAATCCTCGCCCACAGCAGCTATTTCAATTTTTAGCTTGATCAATTATTTCAAACAGGTATTTTATGAAGGGGTGTCAAACGTATAGAGTTGGGTCGTTTCGTATCAGGTTGATTTCGAGTTCGTGTCAAAAATCTCAAAATCCAAATTGGACATGTTTAATAATCGTATCAAGATGTGTAAAAACTAATCTGACCTGGCCATTAACGGGTTACCCGAACCCGACTTGTTTGACACGTTTAATATACAGGTCATTTTAGGGTTAACATACATAACATGATCTGTTTAATACACATAACACAAACTTTTTTAACACACATAACATATTTTCACACCTGTTTATTATCATTAAATACATCATTCATCCAAAATTTTAAATAATTTATATAATAAAGTAAAACGAAGTTTGAATCCAAATGACAAAGAGAGGTGCAAATCGTTTTGAGATAAAACATAAAAACATTCAACGGATAAAGTAATTCCAACATAAAAAACGGTTCTGATCATTTCAAAAATTTTGATCTAACGATCTACAGTTAGTCCTGTATTTCTTTTCCCACCCATGAAGAAGTCTCTTATCGTAAGACTCTACACTCCTATCTCTCATACGTCTCTATCTTAAATTTGAAAAATCACAATAACAACTCAAATTGAATTCATTTTAAATTAATTAATTTAAATATTATATTTTAAAAGTGTATTGTTAGTACCTTGATTTAGGTTGATTTTGTTTAATTTCTAATTTTATGATAAAATTTTTCATAAAATTAAAAATATTTTTATTAAACACACATAAAATACATAATATCTCTTAGTTTAGTACTACTTTTTCAAAATTTGATAGTTTAACATTTGATCCCAATAACTGCATACACACCGTTACTACAACACAAAAATTAGTACTCAAATGAACAATGTCACCATTTTTTGACATCTAAGTTATTTATTATATCGATTTTTTCAAAACCTTTGGTATAATATTTCATTAAAAACCATTATATATTTACTATATAATGTCTTATTCTTTTTATTACAAATTATTTCATACCTAAAGTACATTATAAGTAGATCTTCTTATCACGCATCTTAGTACCGATGGTTGATGTTTATTTCTTACTTCTTATCAATCAATGAAATTTAAATTATTTTTATAATCCATAAATAAAATCATCAAGTTATTATTCATATCAAAAATAAATCACTACTGTATGAAAACCTATAGTTATCAAAAAATTAAAAAAAAAATCGAAGCTCAAGTTAATCAGCAATTAAAAAAAAAAGTGACCAATACAAAAAAAATAAGATACCAATTGCACCAACAAAAAATGTTTAAAACCACTCTAATCACTGTGTGTTGAAATTATTTAAATATCTTATCTTTGTGTGTTGAAATTTTATAAGTAACGTAGTGCCTTCAGGCACGGGTAATGACAAGTTTTTTTATAAATAACATATCACATTTCATCAATAAAATTAATTAAAATGCATTTAAGTTTCAACCCAAAAATTAAAATAAGAACTATAATAATATACTGTCATAATAATATTAAGAATTATACTGTCAATTACTATAGTAGAAGTAAGAAATAATAACATTCATACATAATGGACAAACTATACTGTCATAAACGAGTCTATGATAAGTTAGGTCGGGTTTGTGTCTAAATCATGTCAATTCGTTTAAAATATATGGGTTTAATACGTATAAAATTGGGTTGACCTAATTTTGACATGAACCTGACATAATTTTTTTTGTATTTAAGCGTGTTGACCCATTTTAACCATTAACTCGTTTAATTTAGTGTTCGACTCATTAATTTCGTATTCGATTCGCATCTTGTTAATATGTCGTGTCAAATATTGACAACCTTAATTCTACGACAACTTAATATCCTAACATAATGATGAGGTAGCTAAAAAAAATCCAATAGCATTATTATAGAGGTAAATACTAAATCTTTTTATTAGGACCATGAAAACTTGCACTTACGTCAGATGAAAATAACCATGTATAGTGAATTGCAGCGTTCATTGAATTCTCAATTAGTATAATATTATTCTTATCATTATATTATGCATAACGTAAGATTATCTACATTAACTTTTGTTACTTGTCTCATTAACTTTTGTGTAGCCACCAATGAAACCTCCATAATAAACAGATTTGTAACTGTCCAAATCACAAATGTAAGCATTGTCTGTTACAGATAAAACTTGTAGCGTATCATTTAATGAATTTGGACATTAATTACCGAATCCTTAATTATTACTATTGAATATAATTGAAAATTACTTACCAAACCCATTAATTAATGTTGTAGGATATGACTATTGAATTGCTGTCAATAATACTGTACCAAAATTGATAATAGCCGTATATTTTTGTTTAGGCTAGGGGTGATAATTTTTTATACGACACGAAAGTACGACTTGAAATTGATATGAAATTAACGGATTAGGGCTGAACATTTCTTGATATGAACCAATAAATGACACGGCATGTGTAACACGAATAATAAATGGGATCGAATTAGTGTCAAACACGAAATTAACACTACACGAATGTTATGTACGGAGGAAAATACTATGTATCCCAAATGAAGGATACCATTAGATGAGTGGGTTCCATCAACTTTTTTAAATGAGACCCATTAATCCAATGATCCTCTTTTATTTGAGGATACATAACATTGCTCCTACACGAAGGGAACTTATTATACAAAAAAATGTTTTTAATTCATGGGTAATATTTAAAAATCTTATTTAATTCATGGGTTACATATGGGTTAACATCAACACAAAAATAAACAAGACAGGTTGACACTGTACGATTAATTAAATAAGTTGAGTTAGAGTTGACTATTGTTGAATACGAATCCCATAAATAACACGACACGTGCATGCTCTACACGCCACGATTATCGCCGCTCTACTTTAGACAATTCCTAACCATTTGATTGAAAAACTTTAAAAAATTATATAAAATAATATACTGCTTACATTATTTTTAGATAAAAAAAATAAAAATTCCTACAAAAAAAAAATTATTTTTCGATACTGTAACCGACCCAATAAACCGAAAGTACAAAACGGCAGCTTGTCCGGGTCTATTGCTTTATCAATGTTATGTTTGATGAGTACCAAAAATGCTTCTTGGTTTTGTGTTTATATCTAGAAATTAGTATTTGTATTAATTTAAAATTTAATTTATTATAGCTGATAAATAAAAAATGAAACGTATTGACTTCTTGTTGATATGATTATTATAACGAATTAGCTTCCCAAGTTAAATACCCAACTCAATGATTCAGCAGGCTATGAGTCGGCTCGGTCTAGTTTTTGGGGCAACCCGTGGGCTGTTCTTTTGTGGTTGAACCGGTCCACCAACGAAACAGTGGCTCGACCTGGGTCTTTGGCGTCACCAATCCATACCAAGTATTCCACAAATGCAAAGGTTCATAAATGTCAATTATGATTAATATTGGGGTGGGGGTGGGGGTGGGGGGGTAAGTTCTCGACCTCCCACTATTGGGTTATTGAGTTGTTGGAGAGGAGTCAAATGTATACAGCTTGACCTTATATACGAATAGACTGTTTTTATAAATAAAATATAATCAAAAACCTACAAAATTATTAAAACCGAATAAATCAAGAAGATTAATCACATAATTCATTTCCCAATAAGTTACTGCTCATATGCACTTTCTATGTGCCTGGATTACACTTGGCCTAACAAAAGATTTTTGGCTTTAGGGGCGGATTTCGGTTTCGCAACCCGCCTCGGAGTCCTGATATGGCTGTGATAGATTATAACACTAGGCTTGAAATCGAAATCCTTGATGAAATGATCCATTTTTGAAGCCTGAGAAGATGTGGATTGAGATGCAAGATCTTCATGGAAAAGGTCTTTGATTGCTTTGGGCATGGGCTCACCTTTCATTATGCTCTTCCAATAGTCTTCTGGGTCTTTTCTTGCACTGCTAAGGTCTGAAAACTGAAACACAAGATGTAGAATCATATATACAAGAAAAATATGATTAAAATAAGGTACCAAACTCAAGTTACGACCGAATGAAATCCTGAGTATTGAGATGGACCTTGAAGAACTTTGAACCGATTCTAACATGTTAGGATCGATTTGGAAGTTCTCATCCCAACAAGTTGAGATTGAGCTCAAGTTTTTTATAAGTCTTTGTTTAATCTGATTGAATCGTAACTTTCGATACAACAAAAAAATAGATGCTTGGACTTTCAAGCATAGAATTTCTTACCAAGAAGAGAGAGAAAATGAAGAAGGTGGCGAGAGAGAGAGATCTCATGTCTGCTAATTTCTTGAAACAAAGGTATGGGTGGATGGGCTATTCAACTTCTGGCTTCTTTATTTATAGGCCACTTACCATGAAAATGAAATGAAAAAAAAAAACGGGGTTTATTTATGGAAAGAAGCAATGCTATGACCACCAAATCATTTACCAAATTTTATATCTCAAATCAATGTGGGTAATTCCCACTAATTCCACCAAATATTCAATGCACATAATTTTGACACATTACTTTGGATACAAAAATTGATAGACAAATTTGGGTATCACAATTTTAGTAGGTTTCCATTGATTCTATTTCTTAATTTGAGTTAAATTTTAACATTAATACTTTTTGATTAGGATCCTAGTTTATATTACTTCAAAATTTGAAAGTTTAATGATTAGGGGTATTCGGGCCAATTTACGCACACCTTGACTAATCTCCTCTCTGATCTGATCAAAGGTAAGTCATCTATGTCGGGGCTAGGATATTCATGAAGCATAATTTTTCATGATTTGACCTTAAAAATTGGCAAACTTCAAATTCATGAAGTCTAAATTTAGAGACGATGTTATCTAGTCACATTCTTTGAATGTGTATTAGGAATAAACTAAAGAGCAATGCTGCATAAATTTAAAAAGTAGATTTAAAAATTAAACTTGATAATTACAATCATTGATTTTACTGTAAGTTTTAATAGATGTTGGGATCTACTACCTATTCAATGATTGTAATTATCAAATTTAATTTTTAAGTATAATTTTTAAGTCCTCTAAAATTAGTCTAAACTAAATAGAGGAGAGAGAGTTGGATTTGGCATCCTAATTTTGTTATTCATTCGTTTACTCTGACGTGGGGACATACCTGACATGAGTGTCGATGGCATTCTAGAAACAAATAAAAATAATAAAAGAAAGAAAGTCAATATTGATTTGGGTTTTTTTTTAATTTTACATCTTAAAATATTTTAAAATTGTTATTTTATGCCCTCAAATATTAAATTTTATATATTACACTCTCAATATATTAAAAATATTATAATATGACATTTTTGTTATTTTTTGTTATTTTTTTGTCAAAAACTAATTCATCAACATTGACAGAAAAATTAATAAAATAGTCATATTACAATACTTTTGATATATTGAATGTGTAATATAAAAAAATTAATATTTAATAATATAAAATAAGAATTTTGAAATCTTTCATGGTACAAAATATAATTTACTTTTTTTTTTTTTTTGCGCTATTTAATATTTCTATAATGTACCACTGACAAGGCTGGAAGCAACTATTGGGCATCTCTCTCAAACCCCTTCATTGTGCATAAACAAAGTTTAGAGTCAACTTGTTGGGGGACCCACAATTGATGTCCCCTTAATCAAAATTCAAGGTATCTAGATGAAATGCTGACCTTGGATTTTCTGTCATATTCTTTATTTTAAAGGGTTTGGCAGCAAAGCAAATGCATGTAAAATCACAATGACCATGAGTTTAATATTCACTTGCAATAGTGTTTTTTGGACTAAGAAACTCCCCACTTGCACTTCATTTGTCTGTGTAATCATGTGTTTTGTAGTTGAGGAAAAACAGACATATCCATAGCCGACGAAGCATGGATCACTAGATTCGAGTTCACTTCAACAAGAAATAATTTGGTGGGCTCAGACAGGAGAGAGAGAGAGAGAGAGACTTGAATAATCATGCATGCATGAGAGAGAGAGAGAGACTTGAAGAAAAATCATGCATGCATTTGTACCAAAGCTTGACTTGTGGTTCATCTGACCAATCCAATTTCATGAATTAAGTATCAATCCACATGCGTTATTTCTTAAAAATTGAAGTTATTTACTCCATTATATCACATTATTTGAAATGAAAACTCAGATAAAAAAACTTGATTAGCATATCGTTGTTAAGTTTTCACTGATTATGATCAATTAGGATAAAAAGATAGCATATGATTGAATATAAAAAATTATTCTTTTTAATTTTAAGGTACTTTTTATAATATTGTATATATCTCAACACACACGCACACATACATAGAGATATGAGGATTAAGGCATGTGAAATCAATCTGGCGAGAGGTATGTGTGAGAGAGAAAGAAGAAAGATGTGTTAACGTTGTCAAGAAAGAGGTTTCAACTTTTGTTTTTATTTTTTATCTAAAAAAAAGAGAGAATGAGTTGAGGTAAATATGAGTTGACTTTTTTAAATACAATTTTATTTTTTTAACTTCTAAACTTTTAGGTGTCTAATATTATGAATTGCATCATTAACCCAAATTATTGCAATGAAAATTTTGATTGGACTTCATTTTGGGGGGCTTTTTTTTAAGGCTTAAAAGTTAATGGATTTAATTTTTTTATGGATTAGTAATATATCTAAAATTATGAAACTTTCTAAAAATTTAAAACCTAAAACCCAAACTTTATTTTTAATATTGTTGGGTCGGCCCTAAATCCGACAAGATTGACATAATAGTTGACATCTTTGGAGATTGTAAAATGGTGTTACCCACTAAGCACTAAATGAAACTTATAAAGTGATGTTGGAAAGCTGGTAGCTTTTGATTTTTAGTAAAAGCAACCCAAAAGAGATATTCATGAACTCAAAGAAAAAAAAGTCAATTTTTCTTTTTTAAAAAGTTGTCATAATTGCTTCCATAGTGTTTGCTTTTGCATTTCTCCACAACTTTTTAGTTTTCAAAATTTGCGTTAACCCCATCACCATTCCACTTGGGCAATTATTTTTATGAAGGACAAGAATCGCATGCACAACATCTCCTTGCTGGCTATGCCTCATCCACATTTACTTCATTCTAATGAATTTAAGTTTATGAAAGTCAATACCATCCCAACATTCCATCAAACATAAACCAACAATCGATGAACCGGACAAGAGAGAGTCATCGACAGAACCAACAATAGTTATGCCCCGAGATTGATAGTCCTATCGATGAACCAGACAAAGAGAGAAAGAAAGAGAGAACCAACAAGCTACCGTCGAGTGAGGTGATCTAGTGAAATACCAACTGAATTTCTCACCCTGAAGTTGGAGGTTCGAATTTTGTAGTCCACATTGTAACACAGTGTTTAACCGTTATGCTAGTCTAATTAGATTCATTTCCAAGAAGAATAATGTGTGCGATCAGGGGCTCTCCTTTGCCCCCACCCTTTTTTAAGAAAAAGAAAAAGAGAACCCACAATCTCGTGGCATAAATCTACCTGGTCATCTTACAATATTCCATGAAACATAAACCAAAATGAAACCAAGGTAAATAAAATTCAGCTGGCAAATGTTGGGAACTACAAGTCTTTTCCATTCGCTCTACCCTTGAACATGTCACATAAGAAAATTTCCTCCACGTGAAGGGCCTCATGTACCTGACAAGAAACAGAAATAACAGAGTAATCCCAGCGAGGTTCTTTGTAAATTGGTTAATTTGGTTATACACATATCATTGATAATCTGTTCTCAATCACATTAACATGCAGTGAATTCAGTTTCCATTGCTCAGAATAGGAAGCTACTACGTGTAGGCATTGAAATCCGATCTCAGGCCATGCTTGCAAAGTGTGGGTCATATACCTTCAGCTACCAAAACTAGTAACCATCAACTACAGAACAAGTAAACTACATAGCCCCTTTTTTTCTGTTGGGATTAACACCATATCTTGAATCACCAGTAATCACATGAATTATGAACAAAATTAGAAAAAATGAAGATCCATAGCTTGGATGCAGCTTTCAAATTCCCCAGAAGATTTACCCAAAAAAAAAAAAGAGCTGTTGCTGTTGTGGCCATCAGATCAGCACTACATAACCCTCATATGAATGAAAGGACATAATGGTTGCTAATTGGAGAACTGTTTCATATGTTGACCACATAAAATGGACAAGGAATTGTTTTCCTTCTTTTGTATTTTTGGTTGGGGTGCCCTACCAAGCCAGGGTTCACTTGGGAAGAGAGAGTGCTTCACTTGCGTCGGATTTTACCAAAAAAAAATCTGCAACTACATACAAAACAAAGTACGTACCATAGTTCTGGCGCACCATTGTGAACTTGCGAATGACTTTTATTAGGGAACCATATTTCATGGACTTCAATGGTCCCATATGTCTGCAACAGTAAAATAGTTCAAGGTCAGCCCCGAAGTATGTCAAATACACAGAAGAAGCGCCTCACAAACTGAAGATAAGAGTTACTAAAGAGCTTTCAGTTCTACAATAGCAGGAATATGTATGAAATGACTGATATGTTGTACATGACCTGTCTACGAGAGCTGTCGTGTATAGTTTGTTTGTAGAATGGCATGCGTTATTTAGGCTTAAATTGGGGTTTCTTAATGTTTCCTTAACATGCAGGAATACCACTTCCAAGGCTCCACCCCAAAACTCACCTCAACTGAGGGACTCTACCAATTCATAAACTTCAGGAAGGGCAAATCCTGTCCTCTGACATGATCTCACTCACAAGACTTATGAAACTAATAAAAGAGCCACTGCCCGCAGCTAAGTTAAATGCTCAACATACATAGACACCTTGGACAACTAGTAAATGTATTTGGAAAAAGTATATAAAGTAACTCACACAATCTCAGTGTACCGAAGTCTCCATGCTGGGAACCCTAGGTGGCATCTTGCAGGGCCATACACTAATAGAAGGTCAGGTTCCGTCACCTTACAACCTGATAGGTATGACACCAATAGCTAAAAGATCAGATATCTGTGTGTATACGTTATGCAAAAAACGAGAGGGAAAAAACGACAAACCAACAGCCTTTAATGCCTCAGCCATGAGAGATTCAGTGAAGATGGGTTTTTTATCCGCTCCACCCAAATAATACTTCACAAAAAGGAAGTTAGCTGCTCTAGCTGCTGCCTCCTTTCCATCAGACAATGAAGCAAATTCCAAAGCCATATACTTTTGGTCAAGCAGTGGATCATTTACAGCAGCTTCCTGCATGGAACAAATGTTACATTGGTAAAACATTGCCATTGCTAATGACATTCTAGTGGCTCAAGAACACTAAAATACCATTTTCTAATATAAGCAAAACAAGAAGCACAAGCAAAGCTTTTTTACATGTGTTCAAATGGAAAAATTCCCGCATTAGTTCGAAAGAAAAAAGATTAAATACAAGCAGCAGCTGGAAACAAGAAAAAGAAGAGGACTAAAAAATACATCCTGGTCCCCTAAGTATGTGTTTAATAGCAATTTGGTCCCTCAACTACCAATTGCACCAAATTGGTCTCCACAGTTTAAAATATGTGATTAAAAGGTCCAATCAATAACAGTCATGTAAATAAGATAATATAAGTAGTCATGTGCTTCTTATGTGATGTACCTGAAGGCCATTTTGTAGAAAAAATTAACACCACCCAAAGGAAAGAATTTAGGTCAAAGTTGAACCCTACATTTCTCTCAGAGATCAAATATGAGTGGGGGTGAGAAGAAGATGATGAAGACGACGCTGTGAGCAACACCCACCAACTCTCTCTCATTTCTCCCTCTCCCACTCCTGCTCCCCTCCATGACAGCCATCTCTGTATATATTATACACATATATATACAGACACACAACGATACCAACAAATGGAGAGTGTGGCGTGGGGGGGATTGTGCTGGCATGAGGGAGTATTGGGGTCGGGCCTATTGTGGTGTAAGATGGGATTTGAGTGATGGTCATGCCGCCTTGAGAGAAAAGATGACTGATCATCTTTCAACCCTTCTTCTTTGGGTAGTCTTTAGTTTTTTCCACCAAATGCTGCTTAGATACATCACATAAGAAACACATGACTACTTTTGTTATCCAAGTAAGATTAAAAATTATCAATTGGAATGTTCAAAATCCAATAAACCATATTGATGCAGTTCATAATAGGTAACAAAGTGAGTCTGGGCGCATAGTTCAGGAGCCCCTGGCATATTAGTCCGAAAAAGAGGTTGCATAAAATCTAGCCAAATAGAATAAACATGCTTACAAATAACAGAACTAGCTGATGATATACACCTATAATTTTTCTTAAATAATGATGTAAGCCTATATTGTCACCTTTTTCCTCTTTTGTTAAGTGGACATATTGTAACTTTGACTAGAACGAGATAAATAAAAAATAACCCTTCATTTGTAAATTGATCATGAGAAGGAATCAAATAAACAAACTCTCGTATGGTGAGAAACTCCTAGAATGGAAACCGGTGGCAAAGAGGAGATTCTGTAGAAGTATAAGATTACACCTCAGACAATTGCGCATCCCCAAGTCTTGTCATGAAGGCTTCCTTGAATTTCTTCAAGATTCCTACAAAAGCAAAGTGTCAACAAAAACACACTAGTTATATGTGTCTTCCAACACCACCTTCAGCAAAAGCACAAATACACCACCATCACTCAGTCTCACCAAGGCACCCTTACCATCTGGATCATATAGGCAGGCATTTTTGACACCGATAGCCGCAAGCCACCGCAGAAGTTCAATAACCTTTGATGTCTGGCGAGCTTCTTCACTGTCTATAACAATTGCCAGGTACCTGACTTTGCCTATATCAAGGGCTTTGTACCTCTTCAACAAACCAATAGAGATAAGACAGCTCTCAAGCGCACCAGCAATACCCAGTGCAAAGTACCATATGCCGACAATCAAATGTATAATAGACCAGAGTAAACAAAGCGCAAGATTGCCACTCTGCACAAAACTTTAAAGACAAATGAGCATATAAATTAGGGACTTTGAAAAAACATAACCATACCACACATACATATATGCAATTGGCCACAGGTTGTCCATACTAAGAAAAAATTACCCTGTGATTAAGATTGTACCAAAAGACTCTTGATAGACATGGTAATAATGTGTTGTCCAGATTTTCCAACATAGGGATAAAGATTATTTTACCAATCTAGGATAAGTAAGAATCCAACAGATTGATACAGAGAAACAATTACAAAAGAGCCTCTTTCTATCCAATGTTAACTTATTCATCTCCACAAAAAGGCAGAGAACTATTACATCCAAAGTGGCATCTTTAGCATCTTAAACCAGTTTCATGATCATGATTAACCCTCAAACCATTCCCTCAAAAGTTGAAGTCCTCAAGTTTTCTTGGGGTTAAAACAGTTGAAAACTGCAAGGCATGGTTCCTACCCATCGCAATCCATTTCTATCTTAATAACCTACATCCACTAAAAAACCCACATGTTTTCAAATGTTACACCAGTAAACATTTTTCATGATGGATGAGTCAACATCTCTCGCAGAATGCATACATTAAGTTTATCTGTTGGCTGAATAAAATAATGTACATGCAAACTAGAATCATAAAATAACAATAAAGACCCATTTAAATATACCATTACAGTCAATCACAAGGATAAAATACATAAATAAAAAAGGTGAATTAACAAGGACATCCTCCCAAAATTTACAAGGGTGATGAGATCTTACTATGGCCAGGGCTTGATTCAATGAACATAAGTGCATGTTATGCATACAGGGGGGTAAAATTTCTGGCAAATTCCTTTACCTGATAATTGTCTGTGGACTTGGAAGAAAATTTTGAAGCTAAGGGACCTTGCAAAGGGGTTTGTGCAGATTAACATAGGGAATAGGAGTACAAGATTATTGTATACATATTTGCATCTTATGGGCCCTGGGTGGAGGGGTGTCAACCATGGAGATTGTGCTGTGTATGGCTTTGGAAGCTCAGAAAATGGGAGTGTGAGTTCAGTTATTTCTCGAAATATCTGTCAATGGCCTCAAGCACTCTCTTGGCCTTGTTGGATATCACACAAATATTCCTTTGAAATTTTTACATCCTGAAATAATTTCATCATGGGAACTACACCTCCAATTCAACATGGAAAACTATTAGGGAGTGTTTTCCCGTACTTGATTGGTATAGTTTACTCTGGTTCCCTCAGAATATACCCAAGTGTTCTTCCATTCTGTGCTTGGAATGTTTTCACAGGGTATTATTGACAAGGGACAACTTAATAGAATTGGGGATCACCAACTCAAACCAAAGTATGCTCTGCTGAAATAGGCAAGAAAACATTAAAGATTTGTTCTCTGATCGTCGAAATCCTCAGAAAATATTGGAACAGATTTGCCGGTGTCTCATCAGACGAGGTGTTTATGGGTGGCAACAAGAATTGATTGTGACTGTGAAAAATCTGAACAGTAAGACTTTCTTGATAAGAATGCAGAAGTTGATGCTAGCTTTATCCTTTGTCCAGATTTGAGCAGAAAGAAGTAAAAAAGTCTTCATGCATGAGTGTAGATCTATACAGGAGTTGTGGAATGATATCCAAATGTGCTCATGGCAAAGTTTGCAAGGTGGTGTGGAATTGATAATACTAATGATAATTGGATAATTAGCAAGCACTGGAGCGCCTCCTCATCAATACTCAGGATCTAATAACCAACACCCAGGAGGCAAGACAGTCCTCATTAGGCTACTTACATCGTTAGGCTAAGAAAGTTGGTATTCGTTGTAATTGTATATTAGGCATCATGGCTTAGGAGGAATCAAAGAGCCTTTGTAAGGTCATAGATACATTGAAGACATCCTAGAGGATATCCAGTACATGGGAAGAGCTTTGCTGTCAAATGGTTTGGTGTAGAAAAAGTCATAGAAACCTGCTGGCTTGCATACATTGAGGTTTCCAGAGGCTGATTTTGCTTAGTAGTATGAAAAAATTCCCTTACTGTTGTATGTGGTGTGGTTTACATGTTGGTAGCTGAAGTAGTAACCCATGTTTCCTGATGGTATGGTTGATTATTATGTATAGGGGAATATGCATGCCAACCATTTTATTTTCGTTGGGCTTTGAACATTTGTGTCTTGTATAGGAGGGCACATCCTCCTTATGTTCTGCAATTGAGTTTCTTATCTAGTTATCTTTGGAAATAATACATCACCAATTAACTTAATAAAACCTCTGCCCTCAACATATCAATGATGAAACACAGGAGAGAGAGAATCAGATAAAGTAGATACAATTACAATTACTTGCCTGAGAAATCCAGAATAATATCTTCTGCATTTCATCACCCAATTCCATCAATCTACAGAAAAATGAGAAACAAAAGAAAATCATCAAACCGGCTTCAACCACCCAAGAAATGGATTAATTGTACAAATGCCCATACCATCATTAGCAGAATATATGATCCAAACATGCTTCATATGTACAAGCATAAATAACAAAATAAAAAATTAGAAGAGCCAAAGAAGTTGAGAACTTAAGGAGCTAACTTGAATTCTAGCAGGTGGGCTGCAGTAATTATACATGACCAATCAAGTTTGAGCATAATTGATCTGAAAAATAAGCTTAAAGCCAACAGGATCTGAAAACCTGCAAAAATCCACTGACAACATTCTTGAAATATGCATCTAATCAGGTAAGAAAAGGTATCCAAAATTTCACAGGTATACTAGACCAAGTACTGAAGAATCACAAAGAACAAAACAAATGAAATACCCAAAAGAGAAAATAAGAAAATAACAAGTGTAAAGCATGAAAAATTGGAGAAAACGTAGAAGAGAGATAAATTCATGGGAAAGGCTAAACAAGTGAGTGATACCCAGGAGAGAGAATCAAGAAAAGAACCTTAATAAAGCATGAAAAATTCCAGAAAAAGTAGAAATTAATTAACTGAGCCTTCAGTTCGTCTGTAGCTCGTATGATCTGTCCCTCTCTCTTTCTTTCTCTCTCTTTTCGAACTACTTTTAAATAGCAGGGCTTGGGACGAGTTAGGTTCCACCTAACACTCCCAAGACCAAGACCCACCTTAACCTGAATTAATATTTAAACCACTGGAATCTGGAAACATTTGTATTGCAAATGTATTTTAAAAATATATTTTTTTTACAAAAATACTATTGTGTTTTATAAATAAGTATAAAATAACATTATCTACATAAATATAATTTTTTTTTTGTTCAATAACCAGGGTCGAGTCAATTTACGCGCACATTTTCTTTCTGATTAGATCAAACACAGGTCATCTACATCGGGACTAAGTAAATAAATATTAAAACTATGGTAATTAGATAATTAACTCACCTTAACCTTGCCTCTATGCTTTTGTTTGGACAGTCTTCCTCCCACCTATGAAGCATAATTTGGACAGATGAATCCTATAAATTCATTCACTTATTAATAAATTTTGGTCAAAAAGATACTAGCACGACATAAATTCAAATAAAACTTGAATTAGAATTCTATTACTCAGCAAGTTATTAAATAAGACTACAAAAAAAAATGTTATTAAATTAATAAATTATATCAAATTTTTAACTCTCAATAACATTCTTCTTCAGTGATGTACATGGAAAGAAAAGGAGGAGGAAGTGGTGGTGGCCATAAAATTGCCTGGTGGTGTTGCAGAGGTTTGATACTATTGAGTGTAAGAATTGAATCTCGGTAGCTGCTCGTCTTCAATAACATTTAACCATTTCGCGTGAGTGGAATGTGTATAGGAATGGCGGTGGATTGAAGTGGTGGTGGAGGTGTAGTCTATAGATCCCAGTATCCGGTTAACAAAAATTATATCCTTTTTTGGTCCACAATCATTAGCGAGTACAATTTTTATTCTCATCTCCGTTTGTGAATAAATTTGTAACCTCCGCCCCGTCTCCCAGCTTTATCCCCCCAATCCCCATCCATCTTATCTGCTCCAGCCCAAATCAAACTCAACTTCAAGTCAACATAATTCAAAATTCTAAATAAATCTAATATTTTAAATAATCTAACATAATTAAAAATTTGTCTACAATATAATCCAATGCAGTTTGTCTCCCATGTAAATCCAAATAATATGTATTTTATGTCATTTTGTTTGTCACAAAATAACATCGTTTAGGAAGCATATGACTTGTGATTATATTTTATTTTTAGTGTTTTAGATTATTAGAGAATATATTAATCAAATTTATTGTGTTTTCTTTAGTTTTATTAGGTTAATGTGTTGGTTTACATATATTTATATTATATTTTAACAATTTAGTTGTAAAAATAGCCCAAAAATTTAGTAAATTGAGTTGCTAAAATGACTTAAAAATTAATAACTTAAAGTTTTAAAATTTATGAGGTATTTTGCATTTTTATTCGATTTAAAAATTAGTGAGGTATTTCGTATTTTTACCCGATTTTTTGAGCCTATTTTTTTGACAGAATTCGGCTCAAAATATTACTCTCAATCATGTAGGGTTGGCCAAAATAATAGTCTTTCGCAACTCATTGGCTCGAAACATAGAATAAAAAAATTTCTACCTGACAGCTCAGGTGAACAATCCTAATTATCATGAGGGAAATGTTAAAGGAAAAGTACGAAGACAAAATTAGTGACAATCACAGGGTTGATGATACACCGACTAAAGTTATTGTGGTTGAACATGATATATGTGAGTCTGGTAAAATAGATGTAAAAGACAAGTAAAGTTTCCGATAAGGAGTTTATAGATATACAAAAGGAGAAGCAAGGATCTCAAGTTTATGGTATTGGTGGTGGTATTTCTGACAATTTTTGTGGTTATTTTCTTGATTATCGTGACAATTTGTGGGAGTAAGTGGAAGAGCACTGCAGATTTATCATAAGTATACTCGAATGGTGAGAAGCAGGGGTGTCAATTTTTGACTCGAACACGAACCCGAAAATAACACGATTCATTGACACGAGGAATAAATGGGTCAAATTAAAGTTTGACACGATTAATGGGTACTGTAGATAGAAAATAATTATTTAATGAGTATTTTAGATAGAAAATAAGAATTTTATAATTTTTAAATAGCATTATATTAGTCGTTGTCAAATTAAATAATTTTTTATTAACACGAATATTGACACGAATTCAGCACGTACCGAAAATGATACAACACGAAAATCACACGATTGAAAATAAAGCGACACGATTACGAGAACGTAACAATCAACTATAGCAGGGTGATGACCAATATTGATTTGACTATTGGGAAATAGTTCAAAATCAATGACACTATTGAATATTACACAACATATTTGTACAATCTCTAGTTCTAGAAACAAGGGGAGACAAAGGCATTATTTCAATTCGTGTAGGACTATAGAATATTAATATCAAGTAGAAGGTAGATGAAAGTATGCGTAGACGTAATGAATTGTTTAAAGTAACAGAAGCTCGTGGATGAGTTTCTGTTTTTTTTAAACGGAAGGTCTGGTGGAGAATGAAATTGACAAATTTTATATTTTATTATTTCTTAAATTTGAAATTTATTTAGGAATATTCGAGAATTATTAGTTGCCTAAAACGTGTCAATTCATTAGGCATTGTTTTATTTATTTTTAGTAACTTTTCTAATACTATGGATTTTGGTCCATTGATGATTCCTATAAGTTGTCCTATGTACTATAACTTCTAATTAATTCAATAATACAATATTTTTGGAGTTTTTATTTCTTTTTTACGTGGATTTAGAGCGTGTGTGTTTTTCTGTGCTCAGAAATAATGATTTCTTTGTGTTTTTCATTTACCGTTGAGCCCTCATCTTTTGGGTTTACTTTTTATTTTTTTGGAGGAATTTTATCACTTTTTGAGGGTTTTTTTTTTCCCTAAAACAAATGCCCAAACAAAACAACATGCCAAATTCAATGAATTCAGTGTGAAAAACTCACACTAAATTCATAATTAAGAGAAATTGTGTAAAACGGTCAATGATTTTCTTTCATAATTAAGAGAGTTCACAAAAAACAAGAAAAAAATTCCTTTGCCTCTGGTAATTCAATGAGACACGCAGTTAAACTAGACTTTTGGACACACTGGAATTTCAGGAGACCCATTACACGTTCAACATTGAAGTTGAAGCATTTTCGCTTTATTATCAAGAGAGAGAGAAGGGTGTACACATCTTCTCTCGGACCTTTTTGTTTTTTTTTTGTTTAATGATTAGAGGTGTCCGAACTAATTTACATGTATTTCGACTAATTTTTACTCCGATCTAATCAAAGACACCTCAACTAATCTTCTCTCACACTTTTATCCTACTTCGTTACATCTACTTTGTCCAATTGGTATCCTTTTCTATTTTTTTCATTTTCTATTTAATTTCAAACAATAAATAAAAAAGTGCAAAAATACTTCACACTGGTGTGAAAATAATTACATGAATACAAAAAATTCAAAATATAATCTTGAATCTAAAGGATATATACCTAAATACAAATGGGTCTCCATTAGCCTTAATAAGCAATATGCTCAAGTAAAATTTGAGGGGTTTCGATTGAATTGTGTAGTTTTATCTTTATATGGTGTTATATATCTTCAAGATTCATATACCAATAAAAAAGTTATTTAATTTTAAAGTAATTTATACAATATTAGATTACAAATTAAAAAAAAATTGCCTGTGTTCATATCACAATGCTAGTTAAATGGATTACTCACATCTAATAAGACTAATCCAACCCATTTAATACTCATATTAATAAATCGTGTTATTTTCCAGATGGTATTGTATCAAATACATATCGATTAATAAATTTGATCAACATCTCTCATTTTATGGGTGGGATCTATTAGAAAGAAATTGATGATAAAAAATAAAAAAAAGGTAGAAAGTGAAATGAAAGAAAAGAAATGCAAAGAAAAATTTATTTTCTTATATACGTTTGATTAGAATAAAAAATTGCTAAAAAAATATATAAAAATTAGTAAAAGGACTAAATTATTCTTATCATATTAATCTAAAGAAAAAAACGGTAAGTGGGTACAACAGAAAAAATAAGGCAACTTATACAAAAAAACAAAAATTTTCCCCCATAGTTTATGGGAAACCAAAGTAGAAATTTATAGAAAAATTTGACACTTGAAGAAAAAAATAACTCTCTCGAGAAATTGTACTTTCTAATTAGTCGAAAAAAAAAAATTATTTTATTTTTTATTTTTCTGTGTTTTCCTGTGTTTTGGCGCTAGCCAAACGCAGCCTAAGATGCCACCATATATAGTGGCATCCATAAAGGAATTAGTCCTGTACTGGGGAGTTAGTTACAGACCGACACCACTACTAAGAGTCAGGCGGGAATTAAAACACTAGCTAGAGCATCTAACAAGAATTTGAATGGACATTTTTTTGAATTTGAAAGAATTCTAACCCAATTGAAATTCCTACACAGAATCTGTATTTCTCTCAATCTCTATCATCATCTCCAATCTATATCTCTCTAACAGACCCACGTCTTTTTCTCAATCTCTCTCTTCCATTTTCTTTTCCTGCAATTTCATCTCTCTCTGTGCATTGCCCAAGTTCTTGAACAAGAAGAAGACAATGGCGACCACTAAGGAGCAAGAAATCAACAGAAAGAGAAAGAACAGTCCTGACTTTCAGATCCCAATACAAATTTCTGAACTTGAAGAAGAAGACAACGATTTTCTCTCTCTTTCTTTGTCTTTTCGTCCTAGTAGACGTCACAGCATGTCATCAGTACAACAACAACAACAACCACCACCACTCGTCCCTACTCCGCCATTGCCACCACCGCCACCACCAGGGCAAGAACAACCTCTACCATACCACGCATTCTTGCAACAACCACACCCACAACAAGCCCTCCAGGTCTCACCCTCCCACACTCTCTACGCGTCGCCACCACATCCTCTGCCAGATTCACTGGCATTACCAATACCACCCATGGTGAGCCGCCAGGAGGGGGGTCCGTCGCGGCCGTGTCGTGGTCGTCGGAACCCATCACAAGGTCCGCGAGAGGGGAAGAGCACCACCGTCCCAGCCCCATTCCCATGGGCCACAACCCACCGCGCAACCGTGCACAGCCTCAACCACTTACTATCCAAACAAATATCGACAATCACCGGCGAAGTCCAATGCAAGCGTTGCGAACAGAACTATGAAATGGATTACGATCTGAGAGAAAAGTTCATCGAAATCGGATCATTCATCGTGGAAAACAAAGCCTCCATGCACGATCGAGCTCCGACTGTGTGGACAAACCCAATTCTACCAACCTGCAAGTTATGCGATCAAGAAAACAGTGTGAAACCGATCATTTCGGAGAAGAAGAAATCGATTAACTGGTTGTTTTTGCTTCTGGGTCAGATGCTTGGTTGTTGTACTCTTGAACAGTTGAAGTATTTCTGCAAACACACCAAGAATCACAGGACTGGTGCTAAGGATCGAGTTCTTTATCTCACATACCTTGGATTGTGCAAACAACTTGATCCCAATGGGCCTTTCAATCGAAGTTGAATCTATTTGATCTGGGTAATTTTGGTTCATCCTTAGCATTCAAAATTCTAGTCTTCTAGATATGTAAATTTAGTACTGATCATCAGTATTGCCACATTATTTTCCAGCTTTCTTGTTAGGGCTTTTTTTTGGAGTTGTAAAGATGCCATGTATGCATTGAATCCCCAGAGAAATGTCTGTTTTTCTTTACAGAATCTCATGCTTTTTCAATGGAATCGTTTTGGCATTTTGTCATACAAGTAGAGGACTATTGCTACTACATCATTTGACACAATTACAGCTTTCTAATTTGTTGAACTCTCCTGATGCTTTTTCCTCTTCATCCATGCAGAGTTGCATGTGTTCAACCTCTACGTTTCAGCAGGTTTTCTATTTCTTTGTTACTTCATTATCTTTTTTAGACATTAAGATTATTTGTGGCATGACAGGTTTTCTATTTCTTTGTTACTTCATTATCTTTTTTAGACATTAAGATTATTTGTGACTTCATGCCGGACTCAATTTGATGACTTAATTAAGTGTTATCACTATAGTAGTTGTAAGTTTCAATATTAAATGAAACTCCTTTCAATTCGATAATTACATTGAAATAGACATCTTGATTTCAATGCAGCCTTCTCGGCTTTCTAGCCCTTTCGTTATGATTTTTTTGTTATAGAAATTCACCATTAAGGTCCTAAACAAGATAGAGTCGAATACAACATGGCATTTTAAATCCTACAATAACGGGATTCTTGGATACAAGTTATCCTTTTCTTTAGAGTCGAATACATTTTTTAACACCAATTCTAAATCAGTTCCAATGGTTGAGTGATAGTTATTTTGATAATTTCATTAACACATTCAAATACTTGAATTTGGCAAAAATAAATGAGTAGGGAATGCAATATCTCAATGCTTCTACAATTCGACTAAGGTAAGGAACTTTTTGTCAACGTTCTCGGCCTTTTTGCCTTGCTAAATACATATATTGTTGGGTTAATAGGATAGCTCAAGTGATAATAGAAATGAATTGTAAATTCAAAATTTGAATCTTGACAATTCATTGGGATCATAAATCCCTCGTGAATCCCCTATTCTTGGCATAGGTGGCCTACCTTTGACCGAACCGGAAAAAAGATTAATCAAGATGCACATAATTAAATTGATCTAGACACTTTTAACCGTTTAGAAAAAAAAACACCAATATTGGTCTTGCACATAATTAAGTTGATCTAGACACTTCTAACCGTTTAGAAAAAAAAACACCAATATTAGTGTTATACAAGTGATGAAGGGTAAAGGGAAGGGGGGGGGGGGGTTGGTTGGGGTGATCATCCTCTCCCCCACCCCAATTTGAAGTTTAATTTTGATTGGATTGTTTTTATCTCAGACTTTTTAGATAATTTGAAAAAAAATAATATGCACTTTTGAGTTAAATTGGGTCTCCTTGGACGCCCTTGGGAGGAAAAGAGAGATGTCAGACCTGAACAATGACCATCATAAGGGCCAATGGACCAGTGTGCTTAGTGCATCTTAATGGAGTTGAAAATTAGTGCAACATTAGAAACGAAATGTGATGCATGGATATGGATACAAAATACGGGTATGGTAATATGATAAAGTCTAAAAAAGTAGGATACGGGTACGACTAGGATACGACTATAATAAAATATTTTTAATATTTTTATTATTTTCAACTAACTTAACACTTATATATTTTGGTTGTTCTTTAACATATAATAAGAAAAATTAATAATTATTTTTAGTTTCAAGAAAATATATATCGTGTCGCTGTGGTATATTCCAAAGGGAAGTGATTAATTAAAAGAATCAAAACTAATATTTACCTAGTATTTAGAAGTAATTTTTACTAAAATTATAATGTAATAGCTTTACTATATGGTCTTTTGGCATGTAATTGTAGATAATACTTAAAAAACACTCATGTGGCTTGGAAGTAATATGAAATTTTTGTTAATGTATTGTATAGTATGTGAATTCGAAAAGAGTTGTTAAAAGTTCAATAAAAAAATTATACATGTTGCTCTACTATAAAAATATCTGTGAAAAATCTGAATATTTAATTATTATCGGATACGTAGAAGGTGTATCCGATACGTATCATCGAGTATCCGACGAGTATCGTATCTGATACGATATCCGATACAGGTACGTCAACCTCAACGAAGTATCCGTGCTTCGTAGGAAATGAAAGAATAATATTATTGTAATCTAATTTATTGACCTAATTCATTGTGACTTTTAGATTGAATATAGTTCTCATCAATCATTAGAACTTGATGTTGATGTAATAATTCTTATGAAACCACATCATCATATTAAGAAATTAAATCAAATTTTTAGGTTTAAATAATATTATTCGAAATGAAAAGAAGTGAAGTGGTAGTCTATTTAGTTTATGGGAAATGGTATTTTTACTCCAAAAATTGAGACTATTTATTTGTGAAGTTTTTAAATTTGGTTCTAAAATTTGGTCATGGTAATATTACTGTTTGTTGACTCCATCGTTTATAACTATTGAATAGATAGTGAGTTTTAATAAATACTGTAACTTATAATTAAATCAATGACAATGAATAATATAGTATTTAAATAGTGTCAATTTTTAAAGTCTAAGTAACGTTGCCCTTAATTTCCCCCAAGTGCAAGTTGCTATCAACATCAAGGACCATGTTAGTTTAATACAAGAACTTTGAGAATGTAATTGAAAAATATAAAACTGCAAGTACTATTGCAGAATTACCGGTAGACCTCGTTCTTTTTTTTCCTCCTGGAAAGTAAGCACCTCAGTTTCGCCTTGATGCAGATCAAAATAATAAGGAAAAATTTCAACGACACCCTCTTTAATTTATCATATTTTGACGGATACCGCCTATAATTTTTGAATTTTCAATGACACCCCTTCTAATTTAATTTAAATATCACTAACACTCCCTACCATTAAACTACTATTTCTAACAAAAAAAATTCATCTAAAATACCAAAAATGCCCCTACATAACCTCAAGTAATTTTTTTACATAAAATTTTATTAAAATTCAAGCTGTTAAATTTTTTAAAAAAATCATAAATAACAATTTTAGTAAATAATTTGTTAGTAAATAATAATTTGTTATTTACTAATTTGTAAATTTTAAAAAAAAATTGAGCCTATTAATTTTTTTTTACATATTAAAATTTGAGCTGATTTGAACTATAACCGAGTTGTTAGCGCTGATTAAAATTCTCTTTCGAGTCGATTAAAATTTATATTTTTTTACTTATTAAAATTCGTGTCAATTAAAATTATATTTATTAAAATTTAAGTCAATTAAAATTCATATATTTTTATATATTAAAATTTTAGCCGATTAAAATTCAATGCGAATTAATTAAATTTTGATTTGAGTCGATTAAAAATAATTTTTAATTAGCTCAAACAAAATTTTAATTAACCCAAATTCTAATACGTAAAAAAAATATAATTTTTAATTGACACAAATTTTAATATGTAAAAAAATTAATTTTAATTAGCTTAAATCAAATTTTAATCAGTTCGAATTTAATTACGTAAAAAAAATTAGAAAACAGAAAGGGTCTTATTGAAAATATACTTATCTAGAGGGGGTCTCATTGAAGATATGTTTATCTAGAGGGGGTGTAGATGAAGTTTGTACTCAAATATATCATGAACAATTTAGTAAAATTACATTCTATTTAATATTTTTAATTTGATACAGGTGTTATTGAAGATTCAAAAATTAGAGCGGGTGTTCTTGAAGATATAGTAAAATAGAGGTGGCGTGATTGAAATTTTTCCAAATAATAATAATAATAAATCCCCTTCAAGGCTTGTCATGTGTTTATTGTTGTTATCTTCTTAACTAACAAAATTAGAATTTTGAGTATTAAAGCACAACTAATAATAAATCTCAAGAACTTTCGTGATTTATCCTAAAATTTTAGGAACCCTCAATTTCACCATTAAGGTTTTCACATATTTACCAGTACCATTTTAGTTCTATAATTTTTCAATAGTGTCCCAATTTTCTTAGTGACGCTTTCATTCCATGTAGGTCTATCAATTGATTGGATTCTAATCCAAATCTGATATATAATATTTCATGAATTTGGATTTGGATATACATGTATTTGACCTGTTTATGATCCGATTCAAAATATTTTTATATATATTTTTTATATAAATATAAATATTTTTAAAAAATTAAGTGATTATTTAGAAAAGTTTAGATATAATTTATTAAAATATAGTTAATTAAATTGCTCATATTGGATCTGATTTTGGGTTGGATTCCGAATTGTTAACAGATTCACTTATGAATTGCGAAAAATAAAATTCATCGACTTATTGGATTGATCTTTTAAAATTGGATTTTAAATTCGAATTTAGATCAGTTAAAATCTGATCTAAACTTGATCCATTGATAGGCCTAATTCCACGACAGTCCAATACTAATTTCCTTGAGTATTCCCTTCATTTCCCTCTAATAATTTTTTATTCTTTTTTTTTTTTTTTGGGATTAAAAAAAGACATTTCTATATATACTAGCACACTTTTTAGTATCATGTTTGGGTAGTAATTTCTTACTTATGCTTTCATTTCAATCACCAGTGCCATGCAATATTCTCTATTATGCCCCATTATTATAGTGTCCCCTCTACTACCTTTCTAACTTCCATTTTTTTTTTCTGGTTTAAAAACAATTTATACCAAATATATTAGCAAAAATAAACTCATTAGAAGCTACCATCCCAAATTTGTATTAAACATATTTGTAAAATAGTAAAACATTAACTCATAATGCTCGATTCCAAGTATAGAGACCCAAAAAAAGAAAAAAATGTTGTTTAAATTTAGTTTGAGGACTTAATCAGTTACGACCGTCAAATTAAAAGTTAGTTCTACCGAATATTGTAACTTATAACTAATCTAATAACTATAATAAATTAAGTTAATAAATTTCTAAAATTGTGATTGTATCATAATTGTAATTTTAAAAAATATTGGCTATTGAAAGCTTTTTATTTGATGAATTCAACTTGAATTAATTTTATTAATGTTTGTTATCATAATTTATGTTATGAATTATTTTTAGTTGAATGGTTTTTATTTTGGTAAATGTATATTTGACAAATAATTTCAAAGTAATTGTAGAAGGATAAAACTAATAAATTATTTATTTTCAGAATTTAGCTTTTGTATTAATCGACCAATTTGATTCAATTTAATACTTAAATTTTTATAAAAATTAAATAATTTACGAATTAATAGATTCAATATTCATCATTTAGTGTTCAATTTTAAATATAAAAATATAATTTATATTTAATTTAAAAACTTAATTAACGATCTAATTCATTTATCTTCAAGTAATAAAAATTGAATCAAACGGTCAATTGGAAAACTTGAAGGAGAAGTTTGATTTGGTTTCCAAATTTCATCAAATCGGGAGCGGATAAATTAAAAGGCTATCCAAATAGGAAACAAAATCAGAGACGTTAAAACCAAAGATCTCGTCATCAGCGACACAGCCAACGGCAGTTCTCTTCTATAAAATCAGAAATTCACAGAAAGAAGAGCAGCGAACGGGACGGCATCGAACCTCCCGAGTACCCCTCCGTCTGCGATCGTCTCTCCGTAAACCCTAAATTCTACCACCACATCAATTCTTCACCTCCGTTTGTTTGATTTCTCTCTCCTCTCTCCGAAAAGATTCAGCATTGTCAAGCAATGGAGTCGTTGATCGAACTCTGCGATCTGATCGCTCAAAATCCTTCGCAGTTTGCTGATAAATTGGCTTGGATTTGTGGCCGATGTCCACCAATTGACTCTGTTCCTGCCGGATCTTTGAGGGTTTCGAGGTCACAGCTTAATGCAGTTCTCGCCACCGCTAGATTTCTTTCTAAATGCCCAAATTTCGACGACACGAGACCCAAATCGGCAGTCCTAGGTTTTTTTCGTTTGATTCCGTATTCTTTCGCCCAATCTTTTTGGCCACAGTCGTTTGGAAGCGATTCAATCGCTTCGTTCTTTAACGATTTCTTGAGTTATGTGAATATAGCCAGTGAGTTGTCCTTGGATTTTGCCATGGCCGTTGCGGAGTATACGGGAGAGATTGTGATGTCGGCGATTTACAATGTCAGTGGAGATGTGGGGGTTTCAAGGGTTTTCTTGAATGCTCTGTCGCAGAATTTTCCTCCAATTCTTCCTTCCGATGCAAACAAATTAGTGTCCACTCTTCTAGATCGATTTGAAATTTCAGTTCCTAGTTCACCGAGGGAGCTAGTTTCGGTAACACCTGAAGCGTCATCGTTTCAGAGTTCGCCGCTCAGTGCAAACCATTATCAATCAAATGAGAGAGCCAGTCCAGGAAATGAGGTCAGCAATGCCTCTGGTTCTTCGAGCGGTGAGGCTTCAAGGGTTACAGATGAGGCGATTAGTGCATCGTCGTCGAAAGGATTGGTGATGAATGGGGGCAGCCTTGCGTGGAAGAGCAATGTGGATATATTTGGTTCTGGTGTTGGGTTCAATGATGGAGGAGGAGGCGGTTCCTCGACGTACAAGCGAGTGGTAGCCTCTTTTGAGGAAGAGCCTGTGGAGAGCATTCAACAACAGGAGATTGCTTTCAAGCTGATTGGGCACATATTGGATAAAGTCCAGATTGATCTTAAGCTTTTGGAACAAGTGAGGGCCATAGCAAAGGAGCAACTCCAATCAATGTTGGCTTTCCTAAAGGTAAAATTTAGGGGTATCGATCCTATTGGTTTCGTGTTTTATTGATGTCTTGATGAAAAAACTATATAGATGAACGAAAAAGCTGGTTAAAATGTTTGGTTTTGTTGGCAGATAAGGAAGCGTGACTGGACGGAACAGGGACAGTTACTAAAAGTTAGAATCAATACAAAGCTGTCGGTTTACCAAGCTGCAGCCAGGTTACAAATCAAGAGTCTTTCATCTGTTGATTTGGATGGGAAGTCATCGAAGAGGTTGTTGCATGGAACTTTGGCATTGTTGATAGAAGCTGCTGAAGCATGTTTATTCTGTGTCTGGCGAAAGTTGAGAATTTGTGAAGAGCTCTTCAGCTCGTTGCTTGTTGGGATTTCCCAAATTGCTCTCACTCGTGGTGGTCAGCTGATGCGTGTCTTGCTCATTCGCTTCAAACCCCTTGTGTTAAGTACATGTGCTCAGGTACATTATTTGTTTGCTTTGGGCTATCTCCTGCAGCTGGGGCGTATCTTGGTAATATGATTCTGCAATATGTTTCACTTTTGGGTAAACTTTCCTTGTAATATATATATTTTTTCGAACAGGCAGACACTTGGGGCAGCAGCCAGGGTGCCATGTTCGAGAGTGTTTTGAAGACAAGTTGTGAGATAATCGAGTTCGGATGGAGCAAGGACCGGTCTCCTGTGGACACTTTTGTAATGGGATTAGCTACAAGTATTCGTGAACGAAATGATTATGAGGAAGAGGTTAGCGTTATGTTTCTGTTTGTAGACTTATCGATTGGCAAACACATGACACGAAGCCAAGAAATAATGTGCGCATATAAACTCACATTTTGTGCATGCACTTGTGTGTATGCATGGATGCAAATAGAAGGATAATACACATTGCGTGTATCCTTTTCTATGGTTATGTGATCAATTGTAATGTATCGAAGTTGGAGGACTATTGTTGCTTTTGCATATGCTTATATCATTGCTCCCTTTGCTTAAAGTGTCATTACTTCAATTTTTCACACGTCTAGGTTGATCTTCAACATGTGCATATGTTACTTAACTAGCTAGCTGATGGTAGATTAAGCTTACTTGCCATTTACCACTTCCTGTTCAGTTAGCGGTGTCTTCAAAACGTTTGTTTACTTACTTTCTTTGGTGGATGGATTTACTTGATTTATCATGCATCATATTACTTGATTCTATTTAGTGGTTTCAGTGATTGACTCTTGTTTTTCAGTTGTCCCCTAAATTATTGCCCTCTTTTATTAAATTACCTTTTGTAATCAGCACTGTGTATACAATTTCAGGAGGGGAAAGAAAAGCAGGCAGTTCCGGTTGTGCAGCTTAATGTTATCCGCTTACTAGCTGACCTGAATGTTATTGTTAAGAAGCCTGAATTGGTGGATATGATATTACCACTCTTTATTGAAAGTCTAGAAGAGGGCGATGCTTCGACTCCTGGCTTATTGCGACTCCGAGTATGAACTTATCTCTCTCAAGCATGTATTTAATATGGTTATATGCTTCATGTGCTTACGATTTTGAAATTAGTTCTCCTGAATTTATCATTCAAATGTCTGAGTGTCAAATTAAGTCTGTCGCATGGTTTCTCAACCTTTCTTTGTTGAGTTACTGCAGCTTCTTGATGCTGTTTCTCGCCTGGCGAGTTTAGGTTTTGAGAAATCCTATCGTGAAGCTGTTGTTTTGATGACACGAAGCTACCTGAGTAAGCTCTCCAGTGTTGGATCTGCTGAAAGTAAAACCCTGGCACCAGAAGCCTTGACAGAACGTGTTGAGGTATGTTCTAGCTCTCAAATGTGAATCGTATGTGATATTAACAAACTTCATTGTACCAAATGGTTGCTCACTGGTTCGATCACATTTCTAGACTCTTCCTACAGGATTCCATCTGATTGCTAGCGGTCTTACCATTACTAAATTGAGGTCCGACTATCGTCATCGTTTACTATCTTTGTGCTCAGATGTAGGCTTGGCTGCGGAGTCTAAAAGTGGAAGGTAGGACTCCACTAGTATTGGCTGATGTCATGTCATGGTTCGATTTAATACGATTCATCTTGTGGAGTTATCCTCATATAAATTGTGCTCCCTTTGAATGAATTTCTTTGTTATTCCTCGTGTGTACTGAGCTTTCCTAACTGAAGAAACCTGGAAATTTGCAGGAGTGGAGCAGATTTTCTAGGACCTCTACTTCCTGCTGTGGCTGAAATATGTTCAGATTTTGATCCTACTGTAAATGTGGAACCTGCACTTTTGAAGTTATTTCGCAATTTGTGGTTCTATGTCGCTCTCTTTGGGTTAGCACCTCCAATACAGAAAACTCTGTCTCAGATAAAGTCAGTTTCCCACAATCTGAATAGTGTGGGGAGCATGGGTGCAATTGCTCTTCAATCAGTAGGTGGGCCATACATGTGGAATACTCAGTGGTCTTCTGCTGTTCAGCGTATTTCTCAAGGGACCCCACCTCTTGTAAGTTGACCTTGAATAAAAAATCTTCCCTGATTCTGTTCTCCATTTGACTTAATCATCTATATTTCTTTATATTTTGCTCCAAGATTTAGCTAAATTCTGTTAACTCTTTCTATGGATGTCTTGTTCATATGTAGGAATTTGAGCAATTTATTTCTGCTTCTGGAGATCAATTTTGTCATGTTTTAATCCTGATAAAAAAAAGTCAAATTTGATTCACGTCTCAGAAATCTAATATGACCTTCACACCGCAGCGATGCATATATATTGCATGTATCTGTGTCATTAATTTTATCAGTTGTTTTTTTCAAGTGTAAGTATTGTGGCTAAGTTGTAGTTTTGGGGATAAATGTTGTCAGATTTTGTCTGATCTGTACCCATGTGTGTGCTTGTGTATTTTTAAACATCATTATAAAAATCCAGCTCTGTTGGTGGTTTAACTTGGTTATTCCAGTTTTTTCGCAATGTCTCTATCTAGCCGACATGGCAGAGGTCTGTTTTGCTACCTTTGTATTTAGTTTGGCTACCTACATGGTGGCTAATATTGGACAGTGATACAGACATGATGCGGATGTGACAATACACCTCCATACACTTCATTTACTGGCATGACTATTAATGCTGACTAATTAAAGTACTTAGAGGACTCACATCACTGCATACATAGAGGACAACCATATGATGCTGATTAATATATCTGAACTTCTATGTTGTTATAAGTTATAACTTTCATTGAATGATGAAGCACAAGTGAAGTAATATTTTGATTACATTTTGAATCTATTAACGTCGCTATACTATCCGTCTGTTATCGTATATGTTAGTTGCAAGATACTGCTGAATAATTCTTATGTATTTTGAAGTGTCTGTTACCTGCTTGACTTCAGTGGGCGATGCAATAATATCTTTTGCCTTTTCTTTTCTTTACATAATTATGGAACATTTTTGTGGCATGTCTTGCATGTTTCCAAGCGTGCAGAATATTTTCTCATCTGACAAGAACACATCTGCCTTTAATAATGTCCTCGCTGCTTTTATGTGGAATGATTGGAGATGGTTGTACTGTTATTAGTCTGTTTCATCATTAAAATGGTGCCTTGTCTTTGTATTAGTAATTATGAACTTGAAGCTTTGACGCAACATGCTTTTCTCTAGGTTGTTAGTTCTGTGAAGTGGCTTGAAGATGAGTTCGAACTCAATGCTCTTCATAACCCTGGTAGTCGCCGCGGGAGTGGCAATGAGAAAGCTGCTGTAAGCCAAAGAGCTGCTCTTTCTGCTGCTTTAGGAGGGCGAGTTGAGGTTGCAGCAATGAGCACTATATCTGGTATAGTGATCTCCTTTATATTTAGTGGTGAAACAGATATGAATTCTCTATGTTTTGTGATTGTTTTGCAAGCCAGTACTTGCTGGCTTCAAATACTGATCAAATTAGGTGGGTTTATCACTGTGCTTGGTAGGCTTCCCTGCTTATAAAATCCTCTTGATTAGTCGTCGTAGTTTATACATATAGTGTTGAAATGTCGCCTTCTTCTGACTTCTACAGGTGTCAAGGCAACATATCTCCTTGCAGTTACTTTTTTAGAAATAATACGCTTCAGCAGCAATGGCGGCATCCTCAATGGTAGCCCTAGTTCAAATGCTTCTAGAAGTGCTTTCAGCTGTGTCTTTGAATACTTGAAAAGTCCAAATCTTATGCCGGCTGTGCTTCAGTGCTTGACAGCAATTGTCCACCGTGCTTTTGAAACAGCATTGCTATGGCTGGTATTCTTCTTTTCTTATTAGGTTTGTTGAGCAATGCTTTTTTCTTATTGTTAATTTCTCTGTTTGGAAAATATTTTCTTTGGAGGATGTTGTACATGACATTGGTGGTGCACCTTGCGCGAAAGTTGATCTTTATACAGCGAAGTAAACTAGTTTAGAAAATATTTATCATTGAACCAGGTTGACTTAGTCCTGTAATTGCATTAATGAACATTTTATCATTAAGATATGGACATATCCAATACTGACATCTTCCCAACCATGCACACATACCTAGGAAAAAAGAAGAATTTTTTAAATAAATAATAGCCATTTGTCGAATGGCAATTGTTAAACAATCATCCACTCTAAAAGTTTTTAGTTGTTTGAGAGGATGTAACTTAAGTATTTATATATTTTAACACGCCCCTTCATGTACAGACTAGTTTTGGTTCAAGCACGTGCAAGTATATAATTATAAGTGGTGGTGAGATTCGAATGCAACACATCTTGTTTTGATACCATGTTAAAGAACAATTCTCTTAGATGTTAGGGAGGATGTAACATAAGTATCTATATGCTTCCAAAGCATCAATATGTTCTTTTTAATATTATGGTTCTTAATGAACATTGTAGGATATCATTGCATGTTTTGTCCTAAGTTACCTGCTGATCCTAAGGGCCTGGCGTGCTTCCTTTTCTGGATCTGTTTTATCTTTTTGTTTTATATGAGCTTCTTACCCGAAAGAAAAAAAGTGAAGCTAATTTTTTTAGCCAAATTCTACTTTACTTCCCACGGTTTGTCGTTAGAGCACTTTACCCTTGATGGTTCTAATGCATTCCATAACCTTCATGTGGTTTTGGACTTAAGTGGTACTACTGCTACAAATTTTGTCCAAATTGATTGTAATTGTGACATACAGCCTGTTTAGCAGTTTGACTAAAAAATCTTTTCCCATGTCAAACTCAAAAAGATAACACCCAGTTTAGTCCATGATAGGGATAGACTGGGTATATACCTAACTTTTGGGGTTATTTTACATAAAGTAACTGCCCTGTGGTTCAAACCCATATCGCAATCCAAACAAAACAATCATATGTCCCTTATCTATCTTGAATTCTCGCTCTCTCTCTGTCTATATATATATATATATATATGTACGTGTATACATATATATAGGTATGTATGTATGTATATATCAGTACCAATCCACCAGCCATCACCCTCATCCTAATCGGCAGTCAACACTTCTCCGCACTCATTCCTCAACCATATTAAGCAACTCCAAGCCCTCATAATAAACCTCGGGCACAACCAAACCGAATTCCACCAATTCAAGCACATCCAATTTTACAATGGCTCTCACACTAACCTTAACTATGTCAGCTTCATCTTTGACCACCTCATATCTCCTTATGTATATGACATGGTCTGTAAAGGATGCCCAAAACCCAACAATTATATACCAACATGTTTTGAAGTATTGTCCTGAAGCACTAAAATCTTACAGCCTGAATTGGTGCATACCCAGATTGTGAAATCTGGTTTTGGGAAATACACAGTTGTGCAAACAGCTCTTTTTGGACTTGTACTTGAGGTTTTGTTTGGATATAATTTGTGCAATATAGTTCTTTGATGAAATGTTTGAAAGGAATGCACTGTCTTGGGGGATGGTGGTTGTTTTGATTGGGGTGGTGGAAGAAGAAGGAGAGGAAAAAGAAAAAGATGAAGAGCGACTGAGGGACAGATTGTGAGGGTAATATTGTCATTGTGGCAGAGTTGTTAATGATCGTAATTGTTCATATTTATCCAAAAACTACATGAGGATTATGTGGTTATTTGTGAGTTTTAGTGGGCTGAAGTGCTATGGACCCAAATCACAGGTGTAAAATGTAATTTGCCCTTAAGATGAGGTTAGACTGCTTTTTGGTAGACATGATTGGATAGTGAGGAATTACCCGATGCTTATTTTGTCGTTGGATCCACTAAGAAGATTATTTATGCTTGCAAAGAGTCTATTCAGTTCATTATATTTGGTATCTATAAAAAAGGACAATGAAGAACTAAGGAAACTTTGGAGTTGCATTAGTAAAACCAAGTTCCTTGCTGTTAATTGATTTTATAAACCAAAAGGGTAGATGGACTATTGAACTCCTCTTTTTATGCAGTCCACCCTCTTGAAAATTTTGTTGATTATATTAATCAATAAACTGGACCTCGACTAGATGGCTTGATGGATTTGACAGATATTATTGTATTCAGAATGGGCTAGACTGCAGGGTTGTACATAATTTATCTACCGTCCACGGGTTGTGGTGCTTAGGTGCTACAGTTTTTATTTATCAAGGAAGAGTGATAAATCACCATCTTTCTTGGTAAATTAGGTCCATAATATGCACAATAACAATCCTTGTCTTTTGTGAGTTTATCCCATTATGTATTGGCCCATTATGTGTTGTCTTTTGTTTTTCATATGATGTTGCCTGATTTTACATTTTGCCTTGTTTATCTGTAAAGCAGTGGTCCGGGGGCCTTATATGTGGTAAACCTATGTTATGTTCCTATAATATGGTCTCGAGGTCTTCTGGGTTTTGTGTGTCAGAGACTGTAATCTTCTTATCTTAGGGCCTAAAATTTTGTTGGAGACGGTGAAAAACTTCTTGTCTGTACTTATCAAGCATCCAGCCAATGAATTACATACCAATTAGGGAATTTTTGGCAGCTTTTGAAGGCTGTAGCTCCCTTGCAATAATGTGATGCAATAGGAATCCTAGGTTTTGATGCTTAAGGCTTTGTAGGAGTCATATTGAGATTTTTCTTCTTCTCAGTATTCATCACTTGTACAAACTTCTACTTGACCATTGTAATCTCTCCATCCCAACTGAAAATGCTACTTTGATAAATTATTGTGGCCTCCATCAAATATTCAGCCCTTCATATTAAAACCTGTGAAAAATAAATTTTAATGAGCATGGCTGCCTATGTTGTGATAGCCGTAGAGCACCACTAGTATCTTTTGTTTTTGAACCTGAAAATCTTACTGCGACACCCAACCAAACCCTACCGTACGAGCCTTTGTCATACTGCCAAAACCACCCTCTGAAATTGCTATCAGGAATTTCAGTAAAATTTTTCTGAATTTCTAACTAGCAAAAAATCAGCCTCTTTCTTTTATATGTACACCTCAAATTTGACAAGCTTTCTGTAAAGTTCATCACACAATCTATTTTAGCACACGCTATTTTATGAATTAGTTACTATTTTGAATCAGTTTCAACAGAAAACATTTAGGAGAGTCAGTTTTACTTTGTCCTTCATCGAGTAACTTCCTCCTCTCATTCTATGGGTGTTAGCTACGTAGCTGCCATTGGTATTTGCCAACCTAGTAATTTGTAGTTGAGTTTCTATTGGTGGTGCTGTAGGAAAAATTCTCCGGTCTGATTTTCTTTTCTATTGAAACTGGGCAAGGCTTCTTGGATGCCTCTGTTAAAAGGATGGGAATCTGCAAAGGATTTACTTATCAGCTGCTAATTGGTTGGGTGAATGAAATTTGAGAATTTACTAATATAATCTTCTTTTTGCTCCTGTACCAATATCAGTTTATTAATCTTTTCTTTGTAAATTTGGTATGTGCACGTTACTTATCCTCAGATCTGGGTGCAGGAGGATCGGATGTCAGAGACTGGAAATGAAGCTGAGATTAGAGAGTCTACCCTGTCTGTTCATACCTGTTTTCTCATAAAAAGTTTGTCACTGAGGGAGGAGCACATACAAGAAGTCTCGATGAACTTGTTAACTCAACTCAGAGATAAGTTTCCGCAGGTAAAAGTTTATTATAGTCACATTCTAACTCATCTTTCGATCTTCTTCTTTTTTCATGTTCTACATTCAATTTTGTTTCCTGTACCTTGGTATTGAAGTGCACCATAATGAATGTTTTACACACATTCAGATCTTGTGGAATTCCTCTTGTCTGGACTCCTTGTTATTTTCGGTGCATAATGATCCTCCTTCAGCTTTCATCAATGATCCTGCTTGGGTTGCTACAGTTCGCTCTTTGTACCAAAGAATTGTTCGGGAATGGATCATTATTTCACTTTCATATGCTCCATGCACTAGTCAAGGTCTTCTCCAGGTTTGTTTTCTCTGATAATTGGAAGTCATCATGAGGCCTTTTGATTGTTTGGAAGATTAGCATTTTATGCCTGTGATTGTTGGGTAATTTATCTACCATTTCTCATTCTGAGGTCTATGCTTCTTGTTTGAGTTGAAAAATGTAACATTTGTGTATATTTTCTTTTTCCGACAGTGATGATCTAATTGGGGGACGATGATTCACAATTATTTCTCATGTTTTGTCTAGAATGGTTAATTTCCTGATATAAAAATTTAGATATGTGGTTTTTGAAACTTTGTAGAAGTAATTTTCACATGCTTCTCTGCAACTCCTAATCCGCTTGTGTTGTGATATGTTGACGATTTTCATTAGGAGCCCTTTAATTCTCGAATGATGTCCGCATGGGCCTCATAAGGTCATGTTTAGTGCCTCTTACATATCGTACATAAGACCTTTTGTCGTGGATGGTCTTCACAGATTAATCCCTCCGATTTCAATTGCTAATCTCTCTTTCACTTTGATATTCCATTCATGCACTGATAGACTTGCATCTCTGGATTTCTTGTCTGGTATTTCATACTTCAGGAGAAGCTTTGCAAAGCAAACAATTGGCAAAGAACGCCACCCACAACCGACGTGGTTTCTCTTTTATCCGAGATACGGATTGGTACAGGTAAAAATGATTGTTGGACTGGCACGAAGACTGCTAATATCCCTGCAGTTATGGCGGCGGCTGCTGCTGCGTCAGGAGCGAACTTGAAGTTGACTGAGGCATTCAACTTAGAGGTGCTCAGTACGGGTATCGTCAGTGCAACGGTGAAGTGTAACCATGCTGGAGAAATTGCTGGCATGAGGAGGTTATATGAAAGCATCGGCGGACTTGATTCTAACCCTCTACTGATGGGTTCTGGGCTTAATCTTGATGTTCCAACTTTGGGATCGGGAGTGTCTCCTCAACAGCCACAGTCCAAAAATGATTCATTTAATGAGATATTACTTACTAGGTTTGTGCATCTGCTACAAAAGTTTGTTAACATTGCAGAGAAGGGTGGGGAAGTGGAAAAGTCACCATTTCGTGAAACTTGTTCCCAAGCGACTGCATTACTTCTCTCAAATTTGGTAATTGAAAATCTTTTCTTTCATGCCTGTGTTTTGTTAGTATCAGAAAAATGATTCTATTTCCTTTTTTTGGTTTTATTGAGCATCATGGGATAAATTTTCCCAGGGTTCAGATTCAAAATCAAATGTGGAGAGCTTCTCACAACTTCTACGACTTCTCTGCTGGTGTCCAGCTTACATTTCCACACCTGATGCAATGGAGACTGGTGTGTTTGTTTGGACATGGTTAGTTTCGGCTGCTCCTCAATTGGGTTCTCTTGTCCTTGCGGAACTTGTTGATGCATGGTTGTGGACAATTGATACCAAACGAGGACTTTTTGCATCTGAAGTGAGGTATTCTGGACCTGCTGCAAAATTAAGGCCTCATCTTGCACCTGGGGAGCCAGAACCGCTGCCTAAAAAAGATCCTGTTGAACAGATTATGGCTCATAGGCTGTGGCTTGGATTTTTCATTGATCGTTTTGAGGTTAGGAGTTTAAATCTTCAACTCTCTATTTCTCTCTCTCTTTCTGTGTTCTCTCTGGGCCATTTTTCTGTTCCATTGTCTAATATGAATAATGCTGTATAATGTTTATGCACTTAATGCAAGGATCAAAATATCGTTTCGAAACGTTCGAAACATCCGAAACGTTTCTGTTTCCAAGGAGACCGAAACGAATCGGTGATGGAATCAAAATTCTAATACTTCAAGGTGTTCCATAATGTTTTGAAATATTTTGTTATATTTCAATGTATTTGCACAATTATTTCAGAATATTTTAAGGTATTTTAAGATTTTTTGATATATTTCGACCAATGTTTTGAAAAAATAATTCTTAATTTTTTATTATTTTTCATTCTATTTTCGAAATGGGTTGAAACGTTTCCAAAATAGGTCGAAACGTTTCCATTTTTTAGGTGACTGAAACAATGCACCTAAACGAAATTTTGATCCTTGACTTAATGAGGTTTGTGCATTATGTGATGTCCATTTTATTTGTGATCATGCATAACTTTTGCATATCGTCCGTTCCTGATAATGAGTTGACATTATTAATGGTGATATATCCTTTCAGGCTTTTAGCCACAACCCCCCAGGGGATTAATATAGACTAACATGTTTGTACTTTGGTGTTTATTGTTTTTATTACAGCTGTCATGTAGTGATGAATGAAAATTACCCATAATGCGACATGCACACCTACACATGTATACATTTAATTATGTATAACTAGTTGGTTTTTTTTTTCCTTCCCATTTTTGCATTTACCATAGTTTATGAGAATCTTCATGATCATGCCTGTATATATGTCAGCTCAACTTGATTGAGCCTTCTTCCAACTATTTGGGGTGGGCCTCCATTGTGATGCCTTCTATACACTTCTTTACTCACCTTATCCAATCTGTGCCCTTCAACTTCGCTTATGATCCTATTATATATTCTAGAAATCTTTACCCACATTTTTTCCTCATATGTCCTTCGTTGCATCTTTTTTCCTATTCTTCACTTGGTATGGATCGACTATACAATATAGCCATTGCTAATCTTACCCTTAATTTTGGTGTCTAATCCTGTTATGCCACTGCCTGTATATATACTATCTTTCGGATAAGCATATTGAGCATTTGGCCTGTGGAATTTATTCATATCCAAAGAGTTCCTTTATAGAATTATTTATGATACATGGAAGTATATGCTTCTTTGGTCACTTTTTAACATTTTTTCGTTGGTATTGACAACTAAGTTGATTTAGGCACTGATCACGTGGGAAATAATCAATCAACATAGTGATCGAATTTATCAGGAGTTGTTTCTTGCCTCACAATGGAGACATTCTTGCTTATCTATTGACAAACTATAAATGAGGAGCTTATCGCGCGACAAACTTGGTGGAACATTGTTTGAGTTAATAGTTCTTGCTTTCAGTTTTATTCATCTTCTTCTATCATATCTCTGAATGAAATAATCATCCACTTTGTATGTGTAATGTATATCTTTATTATTATTGTTGTTGTTGTCATTTTTGTTTATGATGAAGAATTTGTAGTTGTTTTTAATTTGCAGTTGACATGTGAAGTTCACATTTGTTTTAAATACTTTACAAGGCTTTCACTTGTCTGTCTAGTGGTATATATTAGTTACAGTCATTTAATATACTAAAACTCAATTTAATTGATCTGAAATTTCAAATACTTGGGGATGTTGACTTTGTGCTTTCTTTCGTAATTGCTTGTCCTGTAGGTAGTTCGGCATGATAGTGTTGAGCAGCTCTTGCTTCTTGGTCGGATGTTGCAAGGGACTACGAAACTTCCCTGGAACTTTTCACGCCATCCGGCTGCTACAGGGACCTTCTTTACTGTCATGCTTCTAGGGCTCAAGTTCTGTTCATGCCAGTCTCAGGGCAATCTGCAAAATTTCAGAACAGGGCTTCAGCTGCTGGAAGACCGGATTTATCGGTGATCACAAATTAGTCTTTACAGTTACTTTCTGCACCTATCACATTTTCTATAGGTGTAGTTGCTTTCATCTTGCATATTACACCTCTTTGCTTCCATTAGCACACTACACTGTATATGATACATTTTACTTTTTCAATCATGGTGTATAGATAGACAGATAAAGAAGGTGTATTTGTTTAGTACAATATGGACCATTCTTAGTACCCCAACACATTCACTTTTTTCTTCCTTCTTCTTGTGCTTTTGTTGGCAAGTGATAAAAACTGATACTAATACTTGATATACTGTTTCGATAATTTGACGAGCATCCTGTGTGCTGCCTGTAGTGATTCATGTAGGCTTTTACCATTGCAGTTCTATATTTTGTTAAAATATGCTCTTGTTCTAAATGCAATTGCATTTCTATGGTAGATGTTGATTTTATAACATTTTTTAGGGTATCTTCTTTTCTGGAATCATTTTGCTATAGAATTTTTATGTGGCTTCAAATCGTGAGGTTTGTAGGCATGTTACGAAGCAGGTCTGTCTGTGTTTCGAAGACATTAGCTAAACTGCTTTCTGTTAGTCATATACTTTTTTTTTTCTTTCTAAAATTAATGTTCATTTTACTGGAGCTAATTATTCTAAATCTTGAGCATGGGACATTATGTGTGCCTCCAAGCTATGTATAGCTTTTTCCTTAGCATGATTATTCTAATGTAGTCAGTTGTCCAATAATGTGTTGATGAATTACTACATTAACTTAAATTGGTATAAACATGTTGATTAATTACACAAAAGATGTTGTTCGTGATGCAAATATCTCATTAATTTTACTTGTATGGTCATCTTTACAAATGTTGAGAATTTAATTCACTTTTCTTTGGTTTAGTGACATGTGCTCTTTTATAATTATATCCTCCCTTCACACGTTGATGGTATTGCAATTGTGTGCTGAATCTGTTCGTTGATCTTGTGGCTTTTCATTAATCTGGAAATCATTTGTATAATAGTGTTGCATTGGGGAAGTGACAAATATCTCCTGTGCATATTGCAGGGCTTCTTTGGGTTGGTTTGCACATGAACCTGAATGGTATGATATAAATAACAACAATTTTGCCCAAAGTGAGGCTCAATCTGTTTTTATATTTGTTCATCATCTTTTACATGAGCGGGTGGATGCTCCCCAGCTTGATTCAAAAGGACGAGGATATGAAAATGGGAGCTCTTTAATTGATGTGGTAAGATAATCATATCTGCTGCTCAGTGGAATCTACTGGCAGTGGCACAGCAAGTTTTAAGATATGATTCCTGTACCTAAAAGTACCCTTATACTTGCTTGTTTGAGAACTTTTTCTATCTATTTTCTGTTGGCGTAGGATTTGTCCTTGTTGTTTGTCTTTTTGCACTTGAAATTAAATTTTTTTTTCAGAAGGATCAATATCACCCTGTCTGGGGCCGGATGGAGAACTATGCTGTTGGGAGAGAGAAGCGGAAGCAGCTCCTTCTGATGCTATGCCAGCATGAGGCTGATAGGCTTGATATCTGGGCACAACCTGTTGGCTCAAAGTAATCTGTTAAATTGCTGAGTGCATTTATCACTTTTATAAACTGTTTCAAATTTTTTGGGTTACGGGCCTTATGGTGGCGATACCATTTAGGTACTTATTACTTACTGTCGCATGCATTAATTTAGGGAAAGTACATCTTCTCGGCCCAAAATTAGCTCTGAGAAATGGATGGAATACGCAAGGACTGCCTTTTCTGTGGATGCCCGGATCGCTCTCTCCCTGGCTGCAAGATTCCCAGCTAACACATCTCTGAAGGCTGAAGTGACCCAACTGGTGCAGGTATGTTCTTAAAATCTTAATTTGGAGGTGTTAGAAATGGAAAATACCGGATGTTTAATATATTCTGGTACATAGGAGCAACAAGAAATGGTGTTACAATTGGCCGTAATTCAGCATAAAATCGGTGAGATTCAGATTAGGGATGGTCATACAGTCCCTTTAGTATTCTTCTAATTAATTTGGTGAAAATACATTTGAATGTGTCATTCATTTTGTCAAATTTGGGTAAGTTTCATGAAAACTAGCAAAAAAAATTAAAATTCTGATTTTACAAAATTTAGCAAGAATTCAATTTTGAACAAGATGTCTGCATTGATTGAAAATTCACATTTTAAGAACATGGTCAAAGAAAAGATTAATGAACATGATTAGAGGGTACATGGAATGAGTGATACGAATATGGCTCCATTTGAGGAAGTGGGGTTTAAATCATGTGTGACGATTTTTTGCCATTATTGTTTGGAATAAATCAGGACAAAGTAATGTACGTCATGAAAGTCTTATCAAATCTTGGTATGTAATTTGTGTAGTCTATTGTTGAACATTTTTGATATATAATGACATTTGTTTGACCAAGCACACGAGACAAATGTTCTTAATTTTGTTTCTTTAGACTAGTCCAGTTTGTTAATTCAAATTGGATGGTGGGGGGTTAGTAGATATGTACGCAATAGAATTAGTCAGACAACAACCTCATTAAGTGTCAATCACTTCTCAGCGATCTCAATGAATTTACACTCCATTCATTCAATCTCGCTGTCTTATAGCGTAGAATGATTTTAAAATACTGGTAAATCAGCATCTTGCATATTTTTGTCTTCCAAGCCCAAACACTTGAGCTTTTTATATCTAAGATACTTGGTTTTTCTGTTACTGTTTTGTGCCAAAATATTTGTACCACTTCTTTGAATGGATGTCTTTACCCATTCAACTTATTTCGTCTCATTGAGAATTTTTTGGGTGTTCAAGTTACATAATAAAAAGGCCATTACCTCGTTTGGTCCCTCATTGACTGAGGGTGCTACGAGGGAGGGACTTGGTAAGGACCTAAACCATGGCATTTTTTGCTCTAGTGGTTGCCCTCATATTGCAATGGACAATCTTAGAGTTGTTAAGCTATGTATTTAATGCTTCATAACCATTAGTGAAAAGTAATATAATACGTAATCAAGCGATTTACTATTTGTTACTTGGCCATAAATGTCTCATTCATTTTGGCCCCTGCTTTGATGCCAGCTGCAGGTAAACTGATCACTGTGGTTCTGCAATGCATCAACTTTTTAGCTGCAGTTGAATTTCACTATTAATTGTATTAACTGTAGTGAAACATCAATATGTACAATGAAATTGTCCACTTGGTGCTATATCTTTGAATGAAATCTTGTAATGGTTTCATCTAATAATTTTAAGGAAATGATACCATGCTACAGATATGCTTGAATGACAATGTTAGATCTTGTTGATTTTTCTGCCACATGGCTAGTTTTATTATGTGGGAGTCTTTATGTTTCGTTGGTAGATTTTTCCCAGTAAATATCTGGTGGCATCTGTGCTTAAACTCACGATCCAGGCTAGAGGTCTATACTTGAAAGTCTTCCCGACAATTTGGATTTGGCTTCACAGTCCCTTTTGCAATTCTGCTCTTTTGTAGGCCTTTCCTTTCTTACGTGCTGCCTTGGAACATGTTAGTGTGCCCGTTTGTCTTTATATTAGTTTAACCCATCTTCGAATCCACCCTGCTTTTATATTCTTTCATTGTTTGGGTAGGATATTGATTTCGTAGCATTCAATATAGTAATTCACTAGTCATAACCTGTGCCTTAAAGCACGCTAAAATATAAATTCGAGCGTCTAAAAAATTGATCCTACTATATTAAATTTTTTCAAAATATATTAACTACAAATTAGTTAAATATTAAATAATTAAATATATGATAGAAATGAGTGGTGTGATATTTTTAGGGAGAAAATATATAAATGATTAAATATGTGATAGAAATGAGTGATGTGATTTGACGTTTGAGTCTGACAAAGGGATGATGGGTGAGGTAAGTGATTGGTGATAGTTTTGAGGGGGAAAATATGACTGGGGTAAAATTCAAACACACTCCTGTTTTATTATATAGATTGTTGTGGCCACCATTTTTGAAAATATTCGAGATTTCACTCATTTTGCGTGCTGCTTCCAATCCATCTTAAATTCGTTTCTCTTGTTACATGTGTTTGGTGTTCATGATGCCATTTTGATTGCTTAAATATGTAAACTGCAATGCATGGTTGGTCTTCTTTTATGTTTTAAAATCAGTGTAGTATAAAAATTATTTCATAATACTCCCGAGAAAATAAAAATCCCTACGCAAAAATAAGGGGGATGATTATCCATCAATTTTGTGTGGTGAAATCAGTTTATGGTTTAGAGTAGAAAATTCAAGGATTTGATTCCATTAGATGCTAAAATGTTCGAAAGGCCATTCTCTGTTTACCATCTGTTGCTTATAGCACGAAAGGCAGTTAGCCAATATCTTTAATTATGTGACCAATAAAAATATAAAAACTAATCTATATGAATGGTTCATGCTTATGCATTGACGTGTTTGGGTCACAATTTAGTTGATCTTCTTGTTTATCTTACTGTTGAAGTGCGAACTTATTGCAGTCCTTCATTTTTCGTATATTTTTTGCAAAATTTATTTTGAGGATTCTTGGTCACTGAGATGCTGTCATGATGCTGATGTTTTCTCTTGCAGTCACATATATTGGAGATACGTGGCATTCCTCAGGCTTTACCATATTTTGTCACTCCAAAGGCAGTTGATGAAAACTCAACAATTTTGCAACAGCTGCCTCACTGGGCTGCTTGTTCAATTACGCAGGCTCTTGAGTTCCTTACTCCCGCATATAAGGGCCATCCACGTGTCATGGCTTATGTTCTCAGGGTATTGGAGTCTTATCCTCCTGATAGAGTAACCTTCTTCATGCCCCAGCTGGTGCAGGCTTTAAGATATGATGAAGAGGTGAGTTATCTGGTAGATATGCTGGCATTGGTTATATATTATTTCTTGTGAAATGAGCTGACAAGATGAAGAGGTTGAATCTAATTTCAAGTGACGTTAAATTAACTCCATATTTGGCTCAGACTACTAGAGACTTTATTCTTTTCTTTTTGGCTTTAAGATACTGGCATGATCTGGATTGTGTTAGGGCTTGGTATTTGTGCTTTATGGCATGTGATGAAAATGTAAACTTTGTGGCTAAAGTGGAAACTTGAGTGGAAAGAGCAGTTATTATGCACACAAATGTACAAAGAAAAATGGTTAAAGAGAATGGAAAAAAGCTGTTAATTAAATGGTTCTTCAATCTTCATATGCTTCCGTATTTTTTTCCATGTCGTAGCCTCACCCACTGCTTCAGTTGCAGCCATAAACATGGCCAAACATTGTGCATACATCATGTCGGTTTTTTGTTAAAAACTTTCTGTTCAGGTAATGGATAACTTCTCAATTTGCAGAGGTTAGTAGAAGGGTACTTGCTTAGAGCTGCTCAAAGGAGCGACATATTTGCCCACATTCTGATATGGCATTTACAGGTGGGTGAAATTGGCTGTCCTTTTACATCATACTGGTGAATTGTGTTTTTTTGGTTCAGTGTGAATATGCTATATCTTCCATATAATAACTGGAGTGTCAAAGAATTGCAGGGTGAGAGTTGTGTGCCAGAGTTGGGGAAAGATGCAGCCCCTGGGAAGGTACGCCGGGTGGATTTTCACATTATCATTCACCAATTTGGAGACATTTGACATCATGTTATGAAATTTATGCATGTTTTGGCCTTATTTTTCCTTTTTTTTTCCATTCCCTGTTTGGTTTGGGCATTCCATGATATCAACTTATGAACAAGTGCAAGCTAAGATGTTCAGCAGATTTGTTCCTTTATATGAGTGTGTTATGCTGGTAGCTGCAAATTGTAAGTTAAGCACATATTATACTGTCCAAGATGGCAGAGACTCGTGAATGTAAAAGATTCTGAGCAGATGAGTCTATCTGCTGTCAAGTTGATTATTGTCACTAATTAACATTGTCTGAATTGAAAAAATAATTAAACTATTCACATGCCCTTTCCAACTTTATGAAATGGAGGTAAAATGCTCGAGTGCTTCTCTGAAGTTTACACAAATTTTATGGAGCCATAAACTGTCAATTGCTTAGTTTCAGTGAAGACTACATACTTTGATGCGAACTTTACAGCATAAGGCTCCATTATGACTTCGCATGTTTAGTGACTTTTGGATCTGATAAAAGTGTAAGGTTTTGAATATTCCTTTTAGTATTCCTACAGTCCTACCTTCAAAGTTAATCTGTTGCTTCACCCAAAAAAAAAAAAAGCAGCCCAATGCATGAGACTTCTGCAACTTCGGGGGTTGCCCTTTATTTTGTTGTCACTTGTGATCAGTTGCGGAGCTATGTTATGGCCCAAGGGGGCCATGGCCAGGGGTGCAACTCGGGCGGGTTGGACAATCAACCTTAGCTCAACCCTAGGTAAATAATTTTCAACCCTAACCCTAACCTTAACCCTACCTCGGGTTAGAAAACTCAACCCGAACACTACTCGAGTTTAATTCGGGCGGGCTCAGGTTGAATTCGGGTTACTTTACGGGTTCAATTCGGGTAGAGCCCAAAATAGGCTTGTTGTTCTAAACCTAATACATATATTACATAATAATATTCACCTAAATTAACAACTAATAACTTCAACCAAGTTTTTAACGAGAGAGGCTGAGAGAACAAGAAAGGCAAAGAGAACGAGAGAGACAGAGAACGATAGAACAAAAATGAAAAACCAGTGCTAATGCTTTATATATATATATAAATTTTTTTTTAATTTGTCGGGTTCGGGTTGAACGCGGGTTCACGAGGCTTTAACTTGAGTCCAACCCAAATTGAATTCGGGTTGGGGTTTTTTGACTCAAGCCCAACTCAAGTATTAAAACCCCTTGTCCAAGCCTTAATTTTTTCGGGTTAGGCTCGGGTTGAAATCGAGTTGCCCAACCCAAGTTGCACCCCTAGCCATGGCCCCCTCAACTTTTCGAAATTATACATTACACCCTTAAAATTATGTTTCGATCACAATTTATATATCACTCAAATTCTTAAAATTAAATTTTATAGATTAAATTATAATCTTGATTTTATTTTATCATCTTAAAAAAAGATTAGACCACATTGAACTATTTATTAACTATTAAATTTGTGATAATTTGCATAAATCATTATTCAACTAGTTTTGATTAACTTTATTCATTTTATTGAAAATAATAATTATACTATATTGTGTGAGATTGATTCTTATATATTCTGTGCATATAAATGTCATGGCATTGATGATCTAATTGAAAGATCCACATTAAATAAAAATATCTTGTTATACCACTATTTGACCCCTCTTGAGAGGAAATCCTGGCTCTGCCCCTGCCCGTGATGTAGAGAATTTTTGCCTATGTCTTTGTTGCATGGTCTGCTTTTCTGCTGAAAGAAAGTTTGTTTCATATGCCATTTTGGATAAAAAGATGGGTGTTCTTTTTCTTATTTCTGGAAGCAAAAAGGCCAAGAAAATAGAAGTGTTGCTTCTCTAAAATAAACATTTGTTCTTCAAATGCAAATAGTTTCATGTCACTATTACCATCTCCACTAGCATCCCTATTAGAGTGCCACTAACACCACCATGGTTTCTTTTATCATTTATCAAACTAGCATCCAACCTAGACGAAACTATAGTTTTTTTTTTTATTCCATTTGCGTGGGCGTCCCAAGTGGGCGTGTACTCATCAAAGTTCATGTCTCTTTATCTTTACCCTTTCAAATTTCTTTTACCAATCCTTATGATGTTAATTTAACAATCCGTCATCAATATTCCACGTTCTTAACTGTTTTTTTTTTTTGTAAAATTAGTAGAAACATTTTCACGGAGTTGTTCTCTTGCGGTTATTTTCAGAATAGTTCTTTTCTAGCTCTCTTGCCTATTGTGAGGCAGCGAATCATTGATTGCTTCAGTGAGAAGGCCCTCGACACGTTTCAACGAGAATTTGATTTCTTTGACAAAGTCACATCTATATCTGGTGTACTCTATCCACTTCCGAAAGAGGAACGACGGGCTGGTATACGGAGGTATTTTCTATTTTTTTGGATGCCTATGCTGATTAATATTTAATTTTTGTTATGCAGAGGTTTGTGTGTGTGTGTATTGTAAATTGATAATTGGTTTCATTACTTGTTGAATCAGGGAGTTGGAGAAAATTCAAATTAATGGAGAAGACCTTTATCTGCCTACTGCTCCTACTAAACTTGTCAGGGGTATACAGGTTGATAGTGGAATACCCTTGCAATCAGCAGCCAAAGTGCCTATTAGGATCACATTTAATGTGGTGGACCGAGAAGGAGATCAGAAAGATATAAAGCCCCAAGCTTGCATTTTCAAGGTAACCATGGTTGTTATTATCTGTATTTGATTGTTCCTGTAGATTTAAGTTGAACTGTTTTCGGATAATGAAACCGAGCCTTAGTAAACATACTAGGAAAACAGTCTTGCATTTTCCAAGTTGCCCACTCCAATAATTAGAATTTCGTTTCGATGCCTAGTTTTGGTCACCTTAGAGGCATATCAGAAACTTTTAGGAAATAGGATAGAAATAGAGAAAAAAAATTAAAAATTTGTATTTGAAACATTGGCTGAAAGGCATCTGAACATTCTAAGACACTTCAAAATATAAGAATTTCGATATTCAATCATTGTTTCATTTTTGTAATTATGGAAACCAAAATATTTCGGCCATTTCCGAAACGAAACGAAATTTAGTTCCTTGGCCCACTCCCAGCATTCTTTTCTTCAACTTCTCACACTGCCACATCCTATATATTATATTTACTACATGCCCCAGTAGAAAACTTAAAATGATTTTGCTTAAAGTTCCAATCATATGTTTTTCCGTGTATGTGGGTTAGAAGCTGACGCCTACCACTATAATGGTCAATTTGGATATCCCAAGTTCTGAAAAGAATTAAAGGAAGAAGTTGCAATTGTTGTTATTCTGTGTTTATACTGAGTTTTACTTAGATGAAGTCCTGGGAATTAGAAATTTGTTAGTTATCTTTAGTTAAAGGTTGTATTTGTATTTAATGATTAGATATGTGATAAATTGTGGAATTGAATGTTTGAAGTACTATGGCTTGGATTTAGGTTCTATGAAGATGCATTTACTTGGGAGCCTTATTTGGATGGATTGTACCTAAAACGGTGAATAGAGTTTAGGAAAATTTCTACTTGCTTGATTATCAATGTGTGCTTCCACTACTTTGAAGGTTTCCCCTTTCTAAGCGCCCTAATCTAAATCCAATGGCCAATGCCTCTTTGTATTTGTGAACTTGAATCTGAATTCCCTTCATTTCTAACACATCTGCGAAAACAACTACATAACAAATTTGTGAGGTTGCTGAAAGTCCTTCTATATATAGTTCTGTGAAGCATGGAAATGTTTGCGTGCTTTAGGATAGAATTGCTAGTTTATTTTGGGATTGTTCTTGAACTGGTCCTATATATCCTGTTTCTTCCCTTTTTATCTATTACACTTCTTGTTCTTCTTATTATATTTGGTGTTTTCCCTTCTGCTATTACTCTTCCACCATCCAAAGGCATATTACCTAAACAGTTTCAGAGAGAGGCCAGTGGGTGATTCAATTCAAAGTATTTCTAAATTGCCATAACCATCTAACTAGTCACGTGCAAAGGGATGGAAGAAGCGGTTAATTACTTGTTCCACTGTACCGTTGCTGCAGAGTTGTGGTTGGGTGGAAGCTCCTTTTATGGGTTTGGTAGAAGATTTGGTTGGATTGGAACAGGAAGCATGTCAAAGTTATAGAGTGGTTGGTGTTGGAATTGAAAAAATCATTCTTAAGGGGTCTATGTTGTTGGTTCTCTTGGGGGTTCTGTTTGATGCGGATTTGTTTGTTTATTTTCATGGAACAAATGGGCTTTAACTCTATCTATCTTTGTGTGTGTTTTCTTTGGATTTACTATAAGATTCTGTTTTGCACGTTTACTACTTGTACTTGGTTTTTTCCACCTTTCCTTTTCCTAGTGAATTCTTTTTTGTCAAACAAAGAATAAACAAATATGTATTGATCTCAGATAAACAAAACCGTTCGCTGTGGCTTAGGTGGTAAAAGAGTGGATGGATTGGGGTAGGCTTGAATCTTGCTCTTAAAAAAAGTTTGAAAAAGTCTGTAGAAAGAGGAAGGTTGACAATTTATGGAATTTTGAAATCCCAACGAAGCCCCTTAAATGATATATTATTGGAGAGAGATTCTTCAAGGAGAAAACCTAATTTTTTTTTATTTTTTCCTTTTTTTGAATTTTGTGTCCCTTTTTGTTTCAGTTGATTTCCAATATTAATGTTCTTTACTTACAAGTTGGTAGTCTGATTAACACTTTCCAATTACGGCTTTGCTTTCTTTGGCTAGACTGAGCTCTCTCTAATGTAGGTTGGAGATGATTGTCGGCAAGATGTACTTGCTTTACAAGTCATTTCTCTCCTTAAAGACATCTTTGAAGCAGTTGGGATAAATCTATATTTGTTTCCTTATGGAGTTCTCCCGACTGGCCCAGAAAGAGGAATTATTGAGGTTAGTGTATTTTTACTACCATTTCATTTGTAGCGCATCAACATGCATTTGTGGTGGTGTGTTTGTTTAGTTCTATATTACTTTTTTCCCTCTTTTGAGAAAAGTAGCCAAGTATGATTACTGGAGCTCCCCTTTATTTTTTGGGCATTATTTGGTATCTGATTAAAGCTCTTACTCTCTTTTTCCTTTTTGGGTTCACTGTTAGTTGATACTTTCACAACTCAAAACACATACGTAGGCTATATTTATAATACTCATTTGAAATATAGGTACACAAGGCTTAACAGCTAGTCATTAAAATAAATCTATTTCTCTTTAATTTGCAGAATCTCTAAGTTTTGTTTTTCATTTTTAGTCGAAGCTGAATATATCCGAGTTACTAGACTTGAAGATGATTTTTGGCCAGCCTTGCTTTTGTTAATTTCTCTGTCTTTCTCTCTCTCTCTCTCTCACGGCTTGACAAATGTAGGGTTTTCTCATCTACCCAATACTACGGTAGATTGGGGAAAATGTTGAAATTTCTTGTCCAATAAAAGGGATAGTGAGTGGTGTTTTGTTGAAATGACCTTGGAACAAGGGTTAGAAGTGAAAAATTATATAAACATGCAAAAAAGAAAATATATACGAAGAAGAGTAAGAGAGAAGAAGATTGCTACACCAAGATTTCATAATATAATAATAACTAGGTACAAGAGATACGATATATAAAATCCTAACACAAGAGAAAGAGTAGAATACCCTTAATAGTAAATAAGCATAGATATAACTACAATCTTAACATCCCCACAAACTCATGATGTGCCAGTAGGAAGCATTGAGAGTTTGACAAAAAAGAAAACGAAAATGCAACGTAGTATGCGACTCGGTGAAAAAGTCAGTCAATTGCATAGTGTAGAAGAAACAGAAGGCAAGCAAATGGTCCAAAGTTGAAGATAGTAGCGCATAAAATAACAATTGATCTTGATATGCTTGGTCCGCTCATGGAAAAAAGAGTTGTGTGCAATCTGGATGACATTCTTGTTGTCATAATACATAGAAGTTGGAGCAGAAAAAGAAACTCCTAGATCAGCAAGTAACCATCTCAATCATACAATTTCTAACGTAGTAGCATGGTATTTAGAAGTTAGTAGATCAGGAACATCTCAACAACAATTTCTAACGTAGTAGCATGGTATTTAGCCTTCTCGACTTCTCGCTTCTCGCTTCTCTAGGAAATTAGGGAATCACCCAAAAAGACATAGAAACTAGTTGTGGATTTACGATCCATTGTATCTTTTGCACAGACACCATTAGAAAAGACACAAAGCTCCAAAGAAGAAGTGAAAGAGAACAACAAACTCTGAGATAAAGTGCCTCGAAGATAACGCAAAATACGGAGAACTGCGGCTTAGTGAATGGTAGTCGAAGAAGACACAATTGGCTTACAACATGAACAATATAAACAATATCAGGTCGTGTAACAGTGAGATAGGCCAGGCTACCAACAAGAATCCGGTACAAATTAGGATCAACCCAAGGGACACCATCAGTAGCACTGTAATCTGCATGAGCTCGATAGGAGTCTCATCAGACCGATAATCTGTTAATCAAGCCTTGTGGATTACATCAACCGCATACTTTGACTGAGAAATAATATAACCCTTATATGACGAAGCTACTTCAATGCCTAAAAAATAGCGAAGGGCACCAAGATCTTTCATCTCAAATTGCTGTTGTAAACGAGCTTTCAAAATTGAAATAACTACCATAATCATCTTTAGTAATAATCATGTCATCAACATATAACAGAAGAACAATTTGACAATGAAAATAAAACGAAAAAAAGAGTAGAATCATGATGATGGGAATTGTGTAGGAATTGAATTATTTATTTATTTTAGGATTTGTGGTCTCTTTATATATATATATAGGAGATATGATATTTGTTTTGATAAATTTTGATTATTGATTATTGATATTGAATCCTGATGTTGCTTCTTTCTCAAATTTTCTGTGTTCTCATCTTTTTTTTTCCTTTCTCATCCCTAATTCTTCCTTATTACAATCTACATCGATTTGATATCAGAGCTAATACGATCTACATCACATGATCATTTGGAACAAAAATGCAAGTCATAAATCATAGCAGAGAATTTCTTAAATCAAGTTCGAGGAGCTTGTTGAAGACCATACAATGTTTTTATGAGTTTGCACATCTCACAAGGAGTGTGAGGGAGACCAGGGGAGGAACCATAAAAACCTCTTCAGTCAAAATTTCATTCAAAAAAAGTATTCTTGACATCCATTTGAGATAGTTTCTATTGGTGAATAGTTGCTACGACCACCAATGTATGAATATTGGTCGTATTTGCAACTAGAACAAATGTCTCCTTATAATCAATGTCATTTTCCTGTGTAAATACCTTAGCAACCAATCTAGCTTTATATCATTTTGATAAGAAACAACACTTTTATTAATGATAAAAGTTAAAAAGTTACAAACAGCAAATCTCAGTTGGACAAGTAGTCCAACCCAAGAAAAATGCATTGGAAGGGCACACAAGCAAGAATAGCATAGGACACTAAACTCAAAAATACAATGCACAAGATATTGCCCAATTAGCAATAATACTAAAAAGATGCATGTTCCTCAAACTTCTTAGTTGTAGATGCCTAGAAAGAAGCCAATAAATGTAGTTGATCCCATAAGCATTTCTTTTCGTTCCTCTTATCTTTGAAAATTCTTGTGTTTCTCCCTCTTTAAATAACCCAAATAAGAGAAAAAAAGCACATTGCCACAAGGTCTTACTCCTTCTACCTCTTCCCAAACCCTTAAAATCCACACTAAGCATAGTTGTCATTGATCTTAGAGCTGCCCAAGAAATACCAATAAACTCAAACATTTTTATTCCATAGGAAGAGTGTGAAGGGACAATGGAAAATTAAGTGGTCTACACTATCACCATTACCACTTACACATAACACACTACTGCGGTGAAATACAATTCAAAGGTCTTCTTCTTTGAAGCATGTCATTAGTATTAATTTTGTAATGAGCAATTATCCATACACAAACTTGTACCTTTAAAAACACTTTATTCCTCCAAATCCTTGAAGACGGATTGAAAAATGGAAGTGATGGATCATCAATTTGGGATTCAAAATAAGATTTGCAAGAGAAAACTCCAAAAGGATCATTGATCCAGACTCTCTTATTGAAATAATTTGGAGACAATGAAACATCATTGAGCACAAAAAGCATTCCTAAAAATTTTGAATATTCTCTATCATTGAGATTCCTAAAGAAATCCAAAATCCCAAGTAATTGGAGATGAGTATGACAAAACTAAATTAACAATTTATCTACCATTTTAACAAGAAAGATGATAAAGGCGAGAAAATAAAGTAGAAAAAAAAAATTCTCCGCTCCAAATATCCTCACAGAACCACACTTTTGTCCAATTTTACACCATGAATTTAACCTTTTGAGAGACGCTAGGTAATCCCCGATAAATGAATTTTCATAAACTTTGGAAGGTGTCCCTTTCTTCCTCATTGGCATCCCATTCATTAGCTTGTAATCTATATTTGCTTCAAATAATCGCATGCCACATTAAATCTTGCTCCAAAGAAAACCTCCACAGACATTTTCCCACTAAAGTCAATTTCTTTTCAATAAATTTTCAACCGATGAGCCACTCTTAACCTTAGGCCTAGACACAACCTCCCATCTAATCCAATGATCTCTTTTTCTTTTCCATAAAAAATCTCACATTTTAAAGAGAGATAATACATATATAGGAATATTAGCCAACATAGACTGCACTAATATCAATCGGCTAATTCTCTCAATTACAGGATCCAAAAAAGTGTTAGACATTGAACCTAAATACTTCAAAAAGCCATCCACCCATACTACAACCTAACTCACTAGTCAATCTATTAATTTTTTTTCTGACTAGAATTAACCTCCATAATTTGACTTTTTTCTTTGTTTATTTTGAGCTTAGAAATCATCCCAAACACATTGACAGTCTAATCTAAATTCCTAAATTTTTCCTCATCCATTAAAGAAAAGAATATTGTATTATTTGCGAATTTCAAATGAGATACAAAAATTATATCCCTTCCAATCACAAAGTACTCAACTAAATTACATCTTTTTGACCTCTCTATTAATCAACTCAACCCATCAGTCACCAAGGTAAACAAAAAAAGAGACAAAGGATCTCCTTGCTTTAAGTCTCTTATTACACTTTAAACCTCCCCCTGATTTTCCATTTAATATGACAGAAAGAATTCATTGACTCCAAACACCCCTTGAGCCATTTCCTCTAAAACCTTTTGCTTCCAAAACAAAGTCCAAGAAACTCCAATCCATATGTTCATATGTTTTTTCAAAGTCACTTTTCAACACAATCCCCTCTTACTTTAAAACCTTCAACCACCTCATTTGCTATGAGTGCCACATCTAAATTTTGTCTTCCGTTAACAAAAGCTCATTGAGTCCTAGAAATAGTATCACCCAAGCAATCCCTAAGCCTAACTGAAAAGACCTTTGCAATGATCTTATACAAACCTGTCACCTAACTAAAGGGTTAAAATCCTTCAATTTCAATCAATTATATTCCTTCGTGGTCAAACAAATAAAAGTGGCATTAGTAACTGCATTGACCACTCCATTATGAAAAAACTCATCAAATACTTATAGTAAGTCATATTTCATTTCATCTCAACACATCTAATAAATAGTCATAATAAAACCATTTGGACTTGGAGCTGCCTTTATTACATTCAAAAACTGCTTTCTTAACTTCCTTAATCTTAAAAGCTCTCTCCAATCACTTAGCCACCCCTTCATTTATAGGATACCACTTTAGCCCCCTTTAAGGAATATCTGCATCGATCATTAGCAGATTACAAATTTGCAAAGAAATCAATTATTTCCTTCTCAATCAATTCCTCATCCTCAATAATCATACCCATCATTCTTTTCAAGTTTTTCAATGATTTTCCTTGACCTATTGCCATTTGCCACTCTGAAAAAAATTTGAACTATTGTTTACTTCCTTCAACCACTTGATTCTAGACTTCTGCCTCATACTTATCTCTTCCTTAAAAAGAACCTCCGCAAGTCTATTACTTAGATCCCTCATATCCTTCCTCAAAACATCATCCACACTTGCTCCTTCTCTCTTGTGAATATCCTCAATTATATTTGTTGGAGTTTTTATTTTTATGTTTTTATATTTATGTTTATGAGCATAAGCTAGTGTAGGGTAACATTATAATTACCCTAGATATTTGTTCAATACTGTTAAGTTTGGAAAATTAACATAATATTAGATACAATATTTAGGGAGAAACAGAGAGAGGTTAAAAACTTAATCTAGCTCTCATACATCACTTGTATTTATAGTTAACCAACAATAATAAGAATTA